AGTAAGTAAGAATTGTGTTGAAAATGTCATAACACCCTATTATATTATTATATGGAAAATACTTGAGCAATTTTATATGAAGAAAAAACATTTAGTATGTGGCTGCTGTGGATTAGGGAGTGTCTATATTATAATCATGTATTCTCTTGCAGTTATTTTTTAATTATGATATGTTGAAATAGTTTTATGTAAAAACAAGGTTATTGAATAAAGATTTTTTTGCTTTTTGTTTTGTTTTGTTTTGTTTTGTTGGTTATGTTTCTAAAATGGAGACAAGAGCATTGGTGGAATTCAAAAAACATTTTTTCACAAAGTAGGGAGATATTTGGATAAATTCAAACCGTCTTTGCAAAATTAGCCAACTAAGACTAACTTTGTTTTTTGCATCAATTTCAATTTACATGTTAGACCCAATTGATTTGGCATTTTTTTAAAACTCAGTAGTCCATCCTAGTTTGTTTATATCAAAACCTACTCTTCTTATTTCAAATTTATTCAAATTCCTAGTTTAGTTTTGTAGCATAACCATCATCTCATCTCATGTTTGTCTTGTATGAACAAGGGGATTAAACCAAAAGGTTGTCTATCCAAGCCATAAAATAATTTTACAACTATGGGGTTTTTATATTGGCCTTTACTTTAACAACATGTGCTAATTCTCCTATAGTGACTGAGAGGATGTCATGCCATGATTGGAGGACATTCTTGTAAATTTCATGGATAAACATGAGTGTGATCCCAAAGTAGAGCATGCCATTCAGAACCTTACTCAATATAGTTCCAAAATGATGTGACTGTGCTCTGGTAACAAAAAAGGAGTTGTCATCAGACCAAAAAAACTGGACACCACTTTCATGTGGCCCAAAAGGGACTTTTTTTCCCACTTTAGATGCAATAATTTTACCATGATTGTTGATAATCTACTCAGCATGTAACACATGGCACTCAGAACCCACAACCATTTTAATGTGTTCTAAACCACTTTACCAACTGTATTCTATTGGATCATGAAATACAGTTACTTCGTAGAAGGAAGAAGGTTCGAAGGAATGTTGGGATGCAGTTCTATCCAAATCCAAGGGAACAAACGCCCACGGTGGGGAACACGTAATCTATCAGGAGGGGAACACATGGAATCCTCGAATGATTCCTCGCACCACGCCACCTTTGCCACATGCAGAGAGCCAGGGTGGCAGATGGAGTGTTCCACATGGATTTGCTCCACCTTGAAATAACTGCCGACGTGGATACGATCTCCAGGTGGCAGGGTGCCAGAGCGGCATGAGAGGGCGGGAACGGAGAGTGTGAACGCGACTATTCTGTGATGAGTCAGCAGTCTGGACCTGTCCATAGCAGCACAGTCCACCTCTCCGGCTCCATCGGGCCCCTCCTAATCCACAATGTCAGGGTCTGGGGAAACAAGGATGGATGAATGAAACCGAGGCGGTGGATGAATAAATGAAGTATGTGGGTCCATTCCGGATCCAAGATGGGGGAATATGGAACAGAGCTCCTCAATATAGGAAGGAGTGAGGCTTATTATGGAAGATGAGGCATCTGGCAGTATGTGTGTGTGTGTGAGTGAGGCAACTAAAATTTATCCATCTTGCAGAGTGGGCAGGTTTTTCATGGCCTTAGGAGCTACTGCTCCTTATTTGGCAGCCGTGTCCTGCTCTGGTTCTGGAATCAACCATTTCCTGATCCAAAGTTTTCGAAAGAGTGGATTTGGGTCTATTTTTTAACACCCCTTAAGATTAGAACATGTTGTCTTTTACTATATGTATTTTTAATTGTCTCTATATTAGAATGGGAATATTCGTTGTTGTGTGCCAAATTAGCAGACACCCAAGTTTGTTTTGTGCTTCTAGGGTCCCCCCCATGCTTTCTTTCTTATCTTTTCTTTTTTGGCACAACTGAAAATGGGTTTCATTGCAGGGAGTGACATACAGAACCAGGCTACAATAGAGTTAAATCCCCTCCCCAATGCTTTCAGGTTATGGGTTTAGAGGTGCTTAACATTTTTATTGGAGTTTGAAGTTGGCCTTCTCTTCGATTTTAGGGGTGGAGTTTGTTTTTAATATTATATGTCTGTTGAGGGGAATGGTTTTGGAGCCCTGAGCTTAGCAAGACGTGTTCCTATTAATATTCATCGTTTTTTTCTTTTGTCTTTTAGAATCTTTAGGTTTTAATTCAAGTGCAATTTGTGATGTGGCAGTCAATTCATAACAATTAGGCTAAATGTTAGCCTTGTCCCTTCACAAAACCAACCCGCATTTGTCAAATCTGCTACAAGTGTTGTGTGGCAAGCAACCAAGCAGATTAGTCATGAGAGGAATTCACTGTTCCATGTTAGAGTAGGGTAGAATTATTTGGTGTTCTAGTGTCATGTTTGGCTTTATATCTTATTATCATTATTATTATTATTATTATTATTTTGTTTTAAAAATTCAAACAATCCTAAAACTGAGAGTGATGAAAAAGGATTGATCAATTTAAAATTGACCAGTTGATGTTTGAATGAGTTTTGAACATTCGACAAGGGTGAAAACTTATAGATAACAAGTGCAGCTTAAAGCTTGAAAGTTAAGAATTATTCTCGTTAATGTTTTTAAGTTTGACAAATTTATAAATGTGTGGAAGGTACATACTGTATTACAATTCCTACAACCATCACAAACCACAAATCACCATATGCAGCTGCAAAAATGAACCCAGTAATCATTATTTCACTTGTGATTTCTGTTTGGAAGAGGAAGAGAACAAGGAAATGGTGATCATAAAATAAATAAACAAAAACAGACCAAACAAAGGATGTACTTAATTCCTTTATCTCCAAAACGTTTTGCTATTCATTTTCCCAATTCATTAAAATATCATAAACTCAAACAGGGTGTGTAGGTGGATAAGTATATCAAAAACTAGTTTGTTTTACAACAACTATCACTCGAGGAAACAACAGAAGATGGTTTGAAATTACCATCCATGCAATAAAAAATCAGTGCAAGTTTGTTCCAATCCATATTCAAACATTAAAAAAAGAGACTTGCATTACAGTACGATAATCCCAAAAGTTTACATACCACTCTTCATGTTTAGCATGGTTCGGTTGACCTAAAAATACACACAACAGCGAACATTTCAGAGAATTTGGATTGTAATTTATAGTGCAGAAGAGGAATATACAAAATGGGTTCGTTGCGGCCCCTGACTGACGAGGGAGAAAATGTTTTTTTTTTTTTTTTTTTTTTTTTATAAATACTGCCAGAATCAACTCATCCAGTTTGTACAGTTAATAGGGACCAGCGTCAACCGAGCGATGATTGAGAACGCTCACCAACGGCGCCGCGCAATTCTGACGAGGCATGGACAGGAAGGGAACGAACCGCCGGAGCAGTCAGCAGCCCCGTGTTCCCGATCTTAGCTTTTGTCATCGGGCTGGACACATGCGAGGAGCGCCATACGATCAATAGTCAGGAGGGAGAGAGAAAGGGAGAGAGGAACGAGCGATTTTATGTATAGATTTCTGTGTCACAGGAAGTCAGGACCCCAATCAATCATTTAGACCGGATATCGGTAATCTTGGAGTCAGTCAGAATTTTCCCGAAATTAGAAGGAATGTGGAATAATATGTAATATTCCGAGATGGGTTTTCCGGAGGAAAGGTATGGGTTTTGTCAGGGTCAGTAGTCCAGGAGGGTCTGGATTAAGGGGGAACGGGTGCGCCCGTGATTGTGGCCGTGAGAGAGTCCGTAACGGTTGTGGTTTTGTAGCGAATAGAGCCCGTTTGGATGAACGAACGTTCCACAGAGACAAAGAATGGCCTACAACGATTAGTGGGTGTCATCATAGAAAGAAGTGGGAGCCTGACTGAACAGTGAGGTTGCCTTGATAAGCACACCACCCTTATCAATGATATCATGTGTACAAGCAACTTACATGCAGGGCATGAACCTCAACCCCGGTTATTTTTATTTTTATTTTTAAAGAAACAAAAGAAAACGATAAGAAGAACAAGTTTTTAAAATATATATTTAATACTAATTGAGCTTCCTTTAATGTTGTGGTTATGGTGGCCCTTGTTTCATATAGACATTTTTCTCTTGTGATCCGAGCCTCCAGCACGGAAGAGTGAAAAACAATGGGATCCAGAACAATGTAATGTATATTTATTGAGGCGTGAGAGGAAGAAGCTCCAAAGGAATTCCTCTCATCGAACGCAAATTGAGCTCTTCGAATTCTCGAAAAAGGAACTGCAAGTTTCTGCTCCGAACGAATGAAACAGACGAGAGACTGCACTGCTTGTTGCGGCAGTGTGGGGAACAGAAGATAACCATCCACCCATTCAAATCAATCAAGCAAGCAAGCAAACAAACAAACAAACAAACCATGCATCCATCTCACATGTTTTCATTCTCCGAATATGCTCCGTGTGTGCTCCACTCTGGTAACTAAAGGGGAACGGCACCCACGTCGCCCCCTTGTTGGAAGGGGCCTCCAAGCAGGTAGCAAGCAAGCACCCACCCACCCAACGAATGTAAACTAGGATTCAAACAATGAATATTGTCCCCTCCAAGGATAGAAACCTAGAGATGTCTACCAGCGGGGAATCGGGGGAGAGGGGGGTTGGGGGAGGGGAGGAGGGGGTCGACGAGGGTGACGAGGCGCTCCCTCTTATCCCTTTCAAAATTTCTGGAATGCTCATCATCTCGCTCCCTGTAACCAGATGCTAAATCAGGCGTACTGCATTCGCCGAACCTGTGATGAGACGCCTCGTGGAGGAGAGCGGGACCCACTTCCCCTTACGAAGCGGCCGGGTCCCACTGGGCGTCAGCAGCGGTCCCCCCAAATTTTCCAGGTCCATCCGAGATCAGCTCCATGTCCATGTTTGACTCCACCCGAGAATCGCAAGCTGAGTCGCCCCACTCCACTTTGCGCAACGCACGCCATCCTCGTTGATGGAACCCCCATTTCTCATCTGTTCATGCAAGCATTCGCTCTCCTGACAAGGGGGGCTGGTGCGTATAAATCAATCTACATCGTCGTTGCTGCTACCACACTTAGGCTTGCCTCGGAGTTTCGTATGTGCTTCTCCTTGTGTCTGTTCTCCACCCCCAAGCTTACTAGCTAGCGGTGTGCGGATTAGTTGGGTGGGCCGGGTCAGTCCATGGTTCGCGACGATCACTGATTCTGGCTATCGTTGGATTCAAAGACCAAAAGAAACAGAAACTGTAGTGGATGGGTGATGAGTTTGGACTCCTTAGAGGGAGGGGTTGCAATTGAGAAGCGGGGGATCGGGAGGAAGAGAAAGGCAGGTTACGACCAAGAGCAGGATTGTCTCTGGGGTGTGGTTTTTTTGAGTGTTAATGGAGAGTGAGCAGGTCGAGAGTGTTCTCCAGTTTTTTTGATTTCAAGTGTTAGCTTATCGGAGAAGTTTGTTGAGGACTGTTTTTGTTTTTTTTTGTTTTTGGTTTCGGGAAAGGGTAGAGTGAAGGGAGAGACAGTGAAAAGGTGCATGAAGATGCCTGGATTGTTGCCTACGAGATCGATCGGAGCTTCTTCGAAGACGAGGAGTAGTAGTGCGAGGAATTTAGCGCGGGGCAAGACAGAGAAGGCGAGGGAGGAGAGAGCATCCGGTGCCGGGACGGCGAATCTTGTGCGTGTGCAGTCGCAGAACTTGAATTTAAACATGGGATTGTTGTCGGCACAGTTTCGAGCATATGGAGGAACCGGTAACAGGTCGAAGGCGCCGGAATCCGGCGTGGACAATATGAGGAGAAAGTTCTTCGGCAATGGAGCTGATTCAGAAAACAAGTTTGGGAGCCAATATGTGAGCAGCGGGAGCGAGCACGAGTTTAACTCTGTCTGCTTAGGCGCTATGGTTAACGGCTTCATTGAAAACGAGGCTGACAGTGGCCGCTGCGGTCGGACGCGATGCAATTGCGAATCAAGTGGGTCACTGTGTGACTGCAGTGACTTTGATGATTCCAGGTCTTCACTTGGAGGAGAACTCTCTGAGATATTGCTGGAGTTGGTGTCGAACCCCAGCGCCACCGAGAGGACCTTGGCTGCTGAAGTTACTAAGGCGATTACTGTGGCCAACGGTGTAGTATCTGCTGAGGATGGTGACTCTTCCAACGTGAACCGTCAAGTCATGAAGCATCTCAGAGCTGCTGGTTACAATGCTGCAATATGCAAATCACGGTGGGACCATGCCGGTAGTTTCCCTGGTGGAGACTACGAGTATATTGACGTACTGTTCGAAGGCCCAACCAAAAAGAGCGAGAGGATCATCATCGACATCGACTTCAGGGCTCAGTTCGAGATCGCCCGTCCTACATCTAGCTACAACGCTTTGGTGCAAGTGTTACCTACCGTATTTGTAGGGAAGGCCGATATTCTTCTTCAAGTTGTAAGCGTTGTGTCCGATGCCGTGAATCAGTCCCTGAAGAAGCGCGACATGCACTTGCCTCCGTGGAGAACTGTTGAATACATGCGTGCCAAATGGTTTTCATCATACAAGCGCACGATCAACGGCTCTGTTCAGAAGGTTCGCAGTGATATTGTTTCCAACATATCGCGTATCGCTGTGAGGGATAGCTGCTGGAATGCGAAGTACACCAACGAGATGGAGGTGGACTACTTCAGAGGTCCAGACCGACGGATATTGAAAGACTCGCACCTCGCCGAGAAGAAGCCTGCAGAGCCTGCCTACAAGCCGTCAGCACCTCTTGCCGTGAGACTTGCTGTTGACAACAATCAATGGCAGCCTCCTGCCTTGAAGCCAAGAGTTTTTCAAGCACCTGGCCAAGCCGGACTTGCATTAATTTTGAGGGAATCGGGTTTGACTTCCTCAATTAGAACTTTGACGGAAGAGGGACGGACGGAACGCAAGAGCTTGCCGATCCCGGTTTGAGGATTTTATGTTGACACATTTCGACATTGCTCCATTTGGGTACTGTAACATATAAACAATGCAGCTGATGTGCATATAGATGTCACATATCATTGCCGCAAGTGTTCCGTCCTTTTTGTCACGACGAGGCTGGCATTGTTGAGAAGAATAGACTGCGCGAGATTGTAGGGTAGAAGTTATTAAATTTTGGGCTCGACAGTGCCGGGATGATAACCTTGCCCCGACACAGGCGTCTTGCTGTGGAGGAGTTTAGGAGCACCCACGGGTTATTGAGGATGAACATAGCGCGGCTGATTTTACATACCGCAGTCCTTGTGCTGCAGTTTTGACGACCAGAGTAGTGCAAAGGAAGAGTGTGGTTATTGTATATACTTCTTGGAGAGGGTTTTGCCACTCACGGTATTGAATTTTTCTAACGAGCCGCTGAAGTTGAGGCTCTGAGTTCAGTTTGCTTTCTTCCATTGATATTTGGGAAAGTCTCATTTTTGAGAATAATGAAAGACAATTTCATTGTCTATCTTGGGTCTAGCATATGCTACTTGATACCTTTCATTAAATGAACTGCGGAAGTTGGCAGCTCTTGTGTGATGATCTGTGCGTTGCCACCTTTCTCGATGTCTTAGTCTTGTTGTTCTTCGAGCATCATCGCATGGCCTTGTAGTTAGTGTTGCAGTGCTCTTGGGTTGCATGAGATCTGCATATGCGGCATCTCCTTTGCAATTACAAGCGCGTTTTTGTGGTATGAGATATGCTATGTCACCCAGTCCACTTTACAGATCATCTATTATATACACTTAGAATATCACTTCTTTAGGAATATGCATTATGTTCAATTGGATCGTGAATCGGATACGCTTAAGTTACATGTATGTCAAAAAGTCAAGAACACTATTGCAATTTGATCATAGAAGCTTTGTTTTGTTTTTCGTTTTTTTGTTTGATTCTGTGAATATTTTGAGTCTCATTTGTGATGAACTCTGTTCAACTTGTATTATGATTATTTTACATGTCATACAAACTTGGTACAGTGTTCCAATTTAATATTCCAGCATCAGTTTGTTGATAACTTCGCATCAAACAGCATGTTTTCCCCTAAAGGAAGCGCAACGCACGGAAGCCAGAAGTTTTATAATTAGGAAGACCCTTCGAACAGCATTTTACTTTGGTAGATGTGTACGTTTTACGGTCCTTTCCGTCTGAGAAAAGGCATGGTTTAAAACATTTACCAGAAATCGCCGCTCGAAGAGTAATTCTTTCTTGATTTATTCACGTAATTTTCAAGGTCACTGCTTCTAATTGAGTTACCTGCAGTGTTCAATTTGTAAAGGTTGAAGTGCAAAGTGTTGTTTGCAGTCGAAAGCTGCGAAATCCTCAACGTGGGTCGGAGCCACAGCTGCCAGACAAGGTGAAGGAACCCACATCGTCAGACTTGACCGTACAAGCACTGAAGGGCCTCTTCAGATCCAAGTTTGTCGCCTTCCCAACTCAACATTGCGGCAAGTTCACGATGGAAAGCGGTGCGGTGAGCTCGACGCTGCGATGCGCCAAGTCAAGTTCACTCGATTGGATTGGCAGCAGTGCAGAGTGGTGGCAACACACACCAATCCACACACGGCAGCAAATATCTCAGTTGCCTCGTCTGATCTGGTCCATGGACATCCTTGGCTGGTGTGCGATGCCATGGGACCCAGACGCGGCAGGGTTAGATTCTATCCAGAGCCATGAAGTGGATCGGCATTATTCGACTAGAGCTCCAACCAAGCTCCTCCTCCTCACTTGTTTCACCCAAGTCCATCAGTTGTGCATCATCTGATGAGCTCTTCTTCCATTTGCAAATGTTGTAATGGATTCATAACATAAGCTTTCAGTCCAAGCCTTCTCCTCAACAGAAATGCCTGCACTGGTATGTGTCGTAGTGGTGCAAACGGTGTCGGTGCTGGGACCATTGGTCTACGATGTCGGTAGTGCCGTGCCCAGATGGTGTTGTCGGCATGATCCTCACGACGATTGCAATGGAGCCTTGCATTGGATGGGGTTCAACTTCAACTTCCAATCCATAGCCCTAAGTACTCTGTGTGATTGTGAGAGCATCCCCTTTTCTTTCTGTTTCTGTTTGTGTTCTTCTTTTTCTTTTTTGTCTGTTTTGCATTATATTTCAACTGCATGGGTTTTATGTGATGTATAAAAAAAATAAAAATGAGACATTTTTATAGAAATATGTGGAATTTTTATGAAACAAACTATGGGTGGTCATTTGGAAAAAAAGTGTGGTTTTTTTCCAAATGACCACTAAGAATCATCATCTACAATAGAGAATAGGAGATGAAAAGTTAAAAATTTGTGTTTTCTACATATTCAAAAAACTTTTAACATGCTCAAAATAAACAATTTAAGAGAAGAGTTGGTTTTTTTAAAGAATTTCCCACAAGTTGTTAGTTCAAAAGAAGAATTTGGAAGATTGGTTTTGGAAAAATTTCTCTTAACAGAATTAAAACACGATTGGAATGTATAGAACCTTGACACTTAATTGCAAGTTAAGGTTGAACTTGAAACTATGCACATGAAAAGAGTCACCTTAGCCAAGATAGCCAACCTCTCTTACACACAAAATACCAAAATTAAAGAATATTTGTTATACTAAAGATTGACTTTCTAGCTCATTGTGTGCCCAAATAGACAATAGATAAGAGTTTGAGGCTGGAAATTAAAATTTTAGATCATAGAAATAATAATTTATTAGATAGAACTCATCTAGAAGACTCAATTTGGAAAATACCTCATCAAACTCATTTAGAATTATTATTATTATTATTATTTGAAGTGTTTTTCTTAATGAGACTATTTATTATAAATATTTATTGTTATTATACATTATCAAATTTTTGTAATGTATGTATAAATATATATATATATATATATAAAGTTAAATAGATAACATTAAATTTCTTAAAATGCATAGAATATATACATATATTTCAAAAAAATTTTAAATTTTGTTTCAGAATATAAATAATTCTTACAAATGCACTAAAAAATGTGTAGAAATTTATTTTATTTTAAATCAAAATTGGTACTAGAATAGAAAAATAAAGCTACTAATATGGGATCACAATTTATAGTAGGTTAATTTGAAAAACATACAAGACAAAAGCATTTGTAACATGAATAAAGTCGAGGTGTTATAGAATTCATTTATACAAGCTTTTGGACACATACATAAATAAAAGTTAATACAATAATATTTTCTAGAGTTTTATGAACATATGATGTCATCAACTTGCAAGAATTTCTCATATAGAGTTTTATAATCTTTTATAAAAATCATATATTATATTTTAAAACATTATAAAGTGTCCTATAGTCTCCTAAAAATATTTTTGTTGTGAGTATATGTGAATTTGTATTATATCCTTTCAAGTTTGACTTTGTAAATAAAAACTTCAATTTGTTTAAGTATTTGTAACACACTTTATTGATGCCATGAAAAGAACATTAAAAGTTGGTTTAAAATCTTCATTTGTACATCAATGAATGGATGCAATTAAAGAATGTTAATAAATTAGTTATCTATACTTCCACTTCATTCCAATATTGGGATTTTGGTCATCTTCATACCAAAAGTTTTTAATTTCATTCTTTATTCTTAACTTCTTTCTACTATGATTAAAAAAAATTAAAAAATTAAAAATTAAAACAGTGGAAACGAAATCTTTTTATTTTCATTTTTGAGTTAATCTCCAAATTGTTTTTAGAATAAGTCATTAGTGTAAACAATGTTCAAATTGTTTATGATTTAATAATGTTTTTAATTGCAATCATATTCTTTTACTATCACGGCATTTGTACTACAAATATTTAATGAACGAGACACTTCAAATTCAGTTGTAAAATGCTGAAATAAACCTCACTAACAAAATTACATGTAATACAATTTATCATTCTTACTTGATATAAAAGCTATTCCACAAGAGCGAGTTATTGTTTTCTATTTAGATCACAGAATCAGCAAGTCCTAGATAATTCTTCTACACAAACTTTGCAACTTCCCCGTGATCATTTGGATATCATTAAATTAAAGACAGAGGTAGAGATATAACTATAAAAGACAACAAGGTAGATGATATGATCAACTTCAAGTGCGAAAAAATTGGGCTCTCGGCTGCTTTGCTAACAAACTGCTTCAGAAGAAGGTAAAATAAAAATAAAAAATAAAACAAGGGAGAAAAACAAACTCAGATACGATGAGTTCCAAGCTCTTCCTCAGAGATAATCACTGAACAAGTTGCAGCAAATCCAAAATTATACATACATATTCCCATTCGATACAAGAAGCTACAAAAGCTTCACAGCAATTAGCAATGTTAGAGAGAGTGGTACCTGCATATGGTGGTCATTGCCATCTTCAGTATCGGTTATCACCATCCTGTTGGAAATGACCCACTCCACCTCACGCTGGGTCCTCTTTAAAAAATTCCAGCAACAATGAAGCATTCTGAACAACATAAAAGTCCTAAAATTTGCCAAATCATGCATGAAGTTATCAAATTCTACATACGATTCACTGCTGACAACTCAACCCTGTAACCGATGTCATTAGGATTCTCCGACGTCTTTCGACGCTCTGGGTACCGTAACTGCAGCGTGTACTGTAGAATCAGCTCTTGCATACAAGACAGATCTAGTTGGACTTCATGCATTGAGCACATGGCTAACAGAGCAAGATTGGTTTCAAAAATATGGGACGATTCGTCATCAGTCCCTTCAATAAGAATCAGCATAGTACACCAAAATCCAACATCTTTCTCGAGCGTCCTATATTCATTTGTTCGCACTGATTGCAGTTACCGATGGCAGACAGAGCATTTCTTACATGCTCCACACTTCTTCTCTTTCCCCCTTTTTTTTTCCCTCTTTTTTTCTTTTTTTTTTCTTTTTTTTCTGTCTTTTTAGAATTAAAAAAAAAATAAAAAAAAATAAAAACATTCTTAAACAGCGACACCCTGGAAGACTTTTGTTGCTGCACTCTATAATACACAATTGACTGAGAACTTCTCTCTCTCACTCTCTCATTCTCAGGAACAACAATCTGTTGATTTTCGAAAATAATTAGTTCACAACTTTGGAGCTGCTATGAATTCTTCCTCGCAGGAGCCAGCTCATTTGCTCTAGTCATTAAGTATACACGGCCATGCGCCCATGGTTGCCCTAGCCCTGACTTCGACGGGTGAAGAGTTGCCTGAAAAACAAGCTGCCGTTCACATATGTGGCATTCCGATTCATGCCTTACCTTTGAAGATGAATGATCCGGTTTCACAAATGTGTAAACCTCCTCCCCACAATTTGGACAGCAGCCTTTGAGTGCCACCAAGTCTCCGCGCCCAAGGGCTTGCAGCTGGTTCATTGCAGCTAGCGCAATAGGGGCTCCGACCAGAAAGCTCGCAAGCGAGAGGAATGCTCCATTCGTATACAACAAAACGAACGTACCAGGTTCGTGAGAATTGAATTCCATGTAGGTTGCAATTAAAACTGGCAGGCCCACAGCAACCCCCAATCCCACTGCGAGAAGCAAGCTCCACACCGTAGCCAAGGCTCGCATCTGGGACGGATCCACTTCAGCGTCCGCATAGGCCGTGAAACGCCTCAAGCTACACCGGGGATACTTCAACACCAACTTCGACCCATGCCATCGCAGCTGCAACTCCACCTTGTCAAACATGTCGTCCACAACTAACGGCTGCCCACTGTAATACGAATCTCGCGCTTGCTGGTACAAAGCTTCCAAGCGTGTTTTCTCCGCAGTCTCAATTGGCCCAACAAATATGCACGACGGCGCATCCGAGCAGCTGCCTGCCATGGACGCCACCGAAAACTGCAAACCCTTATGACCCACACCACTCGAATGATCTTCACGGCGTCCCTTAAACCAGCGCATACGCAATCTCCTACAATACCCATCACCACATCTCGCAACGATTGTCTTTGCCCTAATTCGCCTTCGATTGCTCTCTCTGCCACCGGGTCCGAACACCCCCTGCAAACCCAATTTCTCTCCACCATCCAACCTCGCCAATCCCCAAACCGGCATCAACCTAGCATCGTTTCTACAGCCCCCCACCTCCGAGTTCCACTTCCCCCACGCTCGATTCGTAGCAGTAAACAAGTGCAAACCCCCAGCCATCCCCAACACCACCACCAAGTCGCCCAATCCTTCACTGAACCTCCAATCCTGTAGTAAAATCCACGCTTCAACTTCAGTCCACTTCTACTTCGAGGTTTACATCATTCCCACGTAAGCCATGGCTTGAATACATACATACACAACCCGAGTCCAGTTCAATACTTCCAATCTCTCTTTCGACCGTGCTATTGTGTGTGTGTGTGTGTGTGTGTGTGAGTATGTAATTGTGCCGTACGAAGCTTTGGTGGAGACTGATGGACCCACGAAAATCTCTAAAGCCAGAGCTCGCTTTCGGCTTCACAGCACACGCTGCTGCGAAAATATCTGGCGAGGCCTGCAGGTGTGGAACGTTGTAGAGTGAGTGAGGGAGTGAGTGCGATGCGGTAACGATTGGTGGCGATGGCGACAGCGAGCGTGGCCCTGGATCCCGTCGCCGCGAGCGAGTCGCCGCTGCTCGTCCAAGCCATTCTCTCGCTCTCGGCCCTCATGTTTCCGGTTCTCGGCGACAATTCCATCAAAGGAATAGTCGTAATCCTCATCGACCTCGACGATTCTAATCTTGGAATGATAGTAATCTGTGTTGACTTCGATTCTGAACTTGGAATGGTCGAGCTCCTTGTTGATGCTCGATTCGAAGTCCAGAATGGTCGAGATTTTTGTCGACCTCGATTCGGGCTTCGGAATGGTAGAGTGCTCTTTGACGACGTCGACGGTTCAACGTCGCGGAACATTCCAACGGGTCTTGAATTGTTCCTAGTACTATTTCAAAGGTTAATTAAAAGATAGAAATTAAAACTCTCTTACATTGTCACCAATACTTTTATAATTGAGCTACTTGATCATGTTGAAGTGTATGTTGTATTCAACACACATTATTGCAAATGCTGTGAGTACTTAATAAGCTTTTGCATATACATTCCACAAAATTAGATATCTTAGTTGAAGTTTGCTTTTAATGGTTGTGGTGGTGATTATTCACAATTCCAATGAAATTTGCTTCATATTCCCATATATTTTAATTATTATTATGGTGCAAACCATCATTGTATTGCAAAACAATTGTAGGCCTGCTCTTTTTATCATGTGTTTGTTAAATGGTGTGGTAATGTATTCTTCAATAGCAAAGTTTATTGTTTATTTTGTGTGATGTGATTATATGTATATATATGTATATATATATATATATATAACAGGCCTTCAAAGGGCTAAAAAACGGAACTTGGGACTGGCTTACTCGGAACTCAAGAATTCCTCCATGCTAAGTGCAGTATATTAATGATTTTGGTTTGTAAAACAGAAGAGCTTTATCTCAAATTTCAACAAACTTTACACAAATGAATTTTTTAATTATCTATTTTGTGAGAAAATTAAATGGGATACCACCAAGGAAATATATATAGAAATATTTTTTTTTATTTTAAAATCTTCTTAACCAATTAAATATCTTTCAATGATTTTCATTAAGTTTATACTTTTTTTATGAGAAGTCATGTAACACTTGACAAAAATATCTTTTGAGAAGGCAGCAAAACGTTTTTCATAGAAAATTCTATTGAAAGATTGCATACATTCTCTAAGCGGATTCTACCAAAATAGAAAAAATATATATTTATCTTTTTTTTGGTGAAGAATTGACAGACAATTTACTAATATATATATATATATATCAATTAATGGTTGAGATTGAAGCCACGAATCTACCCAATGTTGAAGAATAATCGATACAATGCAGCAACACCACACATAAATTGAATAACAAATAATGATGACCATAATCAAAGAAACAGATGATAATATACATGTTGAATCAACATCAAATGAATTTTTACTCACAAAAAATAATAATAAAAATAATGAAAGGAGTGATGAAACTAAAAGAAATACAAATGGTTTAAAATCTGATGAAGATGAAGGAGAGTTGTGTCGAATTTGTAGAACTTCTGCTGAAGTTGAATCACCGCTTTATTTTCCATGTGCTTGTAATGGAAGTATCAAATTTGTTCATGAAGAATGTTTGTTACAATGGTTGAATCATAGCCATGCACACCAATGCGAGGTTTTAGTATTTTTAAAACCATTTGTTTATAGAATTTGTGTAATAATGTATTGAAAGTATGAATGGAGTTAAATCGTATTATGTTAATTTTTTTGTTTTTTGTAAAATATATCTGATATGTAATTAAAAAATTAAAAAATTAAAAAAAAGTTTCTAGTGCATTGCAATTTTTTTAATATTTTGCATTAAGAAGATTTTATTCGAGTCGAGGATATTACATTTTTATTTAGTCTTTAGTATATAACACAATGACCATCTACTGCTTAAAAAGCATCAAAGTTGAAATTTTAACTGTTAAATTTAATTTAAGGTCTTATGGTATACATAATTTTTTTCCAGGACTTGATAAATTTTAATTTGGAATTGTGAGTGTAAATATAATTAAATTATTCATTTTAAAAAAAATTAAAGAAAAAATAACATCAATAGTAGTGTTGTGTGTTCAAATGTTAAAATTTCAAACAAGTAGGTATGCAAACAAGCATTCATTTTTTCACCTATTTATACAAATAATGCCCCTACAAGACTTTCAATCCAAGAAATTCTATTTGGGTTTGCAACAAAAGTTACAAAAACTGTGCAAATATCATTTCAAATTTTATTACGTTTAAGTGTTTGGTTTTTAATTGTACCATACATCACCTACTGGACATGGAAGTTTATATTTGTTGAAAATTTTGAAAAAGGTCAACAGATATTTATTCGACGATGTACACCTTATTTTATTTTAATTGATTGCTTCAATGGACTCGTCTTATCAATTGGCATGATTTTTGTATTTCTAGGCTTAACATCCATAAGACAACATTTTTTCTACACTCAAGAATTTATTGAAAATGATGATGTAGCTATGCCACATGCAAACATAACACTACATGATATTAATTATGGCCTTTTGGTAATAGATGAACCACCACCAAACATAGAGATAGATGATTTTGATGAATTGGCAAACAACTTTGCATTTGAAGGACAAAGAAATTTGGGTGAACAAGAAATCATAAATGGTGAAAATAGAGTTGAACAATTAGCAATACCACATGTGCAAGTAGAAGCTCATGAAGAACAAATTTTTGATGCACGGGATGATGTGGATAATGACAATGATATTGACTTTGACAATATTGCATTTGATGACTTAATGGGAATACAAGTACCACTTTATCAACTTGCAAAAAATGCTCTCAATGTGAGATGAAAATTTTAACTTCTTAAGCAAAATTTAATTTATTTCTTTCTTTGCATGGATGTTTAATTGTTTAGCATTTGTTACAGTTTTGTGTAAATAATTTAATGTTTCATAAAATTATTTAAACATGATAAATCATTCAAATTTAGTATTATGATTATTTGATAGATTATAATTGTGAAGCAGGCTGTTTTTAATGCAAGCTTTCAGTTCTTAGTTCTTTTTATGTTTATATAAATTCTAATTATTTCTGTTTGTGTCAATTATATGTATGTATGTAGGTTTTGGCAAGTAATATTATATTTTTAGGTCTTATTGCTTTGATTCCTTTTCTACTTGGATGCTTTGCATTATCTCTAGCAACAAAAATCGTAACTCTAACAATAGCAACAAATGACATGATTACGTTTACATTGACAAATTATTATCACTATATTCAATTTCGTGCAAACAATACTATTTTAAAATTAATCAAGTTTATTAATGCAAAAAAGAATTTATTTGGTTTTAAATCTATATTAAAATTTGAAAACAACATACTATATAAATCAATCATTGGACATGTGTCAAATACACTAACAGCTGCTAAATCTGAAAACACCATCAAAACCAAAAAAATCCTCAACAAAATCATTGAATCAATTATTTTTGTATCAAAGTTTTCTGATACACCAATTATAGGGATTGGCTACCTAGTCATATTTGTTGCAATAAGTTTTTGTTTAATTTTAATCAAAATTATAAAGTATACTAATAGAGAACCCATAGATATTGGTCACATCTATGATATTAATGGTGTACAGAGAATCATGGCTGCATTATCTACAAGACAATACATTTTCAGTAATTTACATTATATTTACACTATACTAAAAATTTCCATTCTCATGATTATTGAATTAGGTATTTTTCCCATCATTTGTGGTTGGTGTTTAGACATATCTACTATTAAAATACGTGACATAACTTATTTTAAACAACTTCAATTTTTCTGGAAATCTCCTGTTGCTAGCACTATCCATCATTGGGTTGCTGGAATTGCATATATATCACACATTGGAAGCTTTATAAGTATTCTGAGTGAGGTATGTATGTATATATATATATATATATGTTTTCTTTATACTAAACAAACATAGATTGTTTTTCAATATTCAATATTTCACTTATACACAACATATTCACTTATATTTATCAGAATATATTTCAATCACATCATTATGAATCAGAATATCTGTATTCAATAGATAATTTTCCTTAAACCCTAAACCTTGGTATATATATATATATATATATATGTTTTCCTTATAATCATATGTTGAAAACATGTAAGATAAGATATCATTCCATAATACTTCAACTATATATTACAAGCAAAACCATGTTCATCAATTTTTCATCAAAGTTGGTGAATACAACCACAACAGGTTCTTCGACCAAGTGTGTTATTTTTCTTAAGAAACCCTTCGGGGTCTAATCACAATCCAGTTGTGGACATGATTAATGACCCTCTCCCTAAGCATGCAAAACGGATTCTGTTGTCCATGGCAATGTATGGCAATTTAATAGCCACTCTGATTTATGTTCCAGCTTATTTGGCCACCTCCATAGCCCCTTCCATGTTCCCACTGAATCTCAGGTAATCCAAGTTTCCATGGAATTTAGGGTTTAGAAATTAGGGTTTGTGTTCAGAGACTCTGCATGTAGCAATGCCTGTGAGTAGCAGCACTGTAACAACAAACTTCATGATGCAGTGGAGTTGATATTCATGTAGAGGAATAGGAAAAAGAATTTCCCATCTGGAGATTAGGATCCTCTTTCATGAGCTCCAGGGATTTTGCACATTGTGCACTGTTGGAAACAGCATTTAGTGCTGTTGCTTTTGTATTGTGGGTTGTTGTTGTTTTATTTTTTGTTGTTTCGTTTTGTTCTTTTGTTTGTTTCAGAAATTGTTCTGTTGATTTGATAATGGAGATGATGGTGATGTGGTGTTGGTGCTGTGAAGGGTATCCGATCCCTTCACGGAGATTCCTGCAGATCTTGTTTTGTTCCATTTGTGTGTTCCTTTCGCGGTTGAGCATTGCAGACCCCGGGCCATCATCAAACGATCGCTTATGCACTGGTTCTCATTCGCCGGCTGCGCGTTGGGTTTGTCCAACTTTCTTCTCCCAGAGGTAGAGAATGGTAGGGATAGGAACGGGAGCAATCCCCTTGGGTGGGGAAGGAGACAGTTCGGAGGAAGAGTCACTTATGTGGAAGCCTTTCCGGAAGCAACAGAAGCCCGCGTGAATCACACCTGTGACGCCTCAATTTCACCTGACTTTGATGTTAGTGTTGGTGGTGGTGGAAACGATCGTAACGTTATGGTGGCGGAGCGCCGGTGTGAGAAGTAAGTGCATAACACCCTTTGAATTTGTTGATGTTATGGTTTATTAGGTTGCGAAGCATCTCTTTGTCTGAGGTATGAGGCTTATGATCTTAGAGCATGTTTTGGTACGGGTAGGTTGAAGTTTGCAATGCGGATCGTGTTGCTTCTCACGGCTGCATGGATGAGTTTGCTGTTCGTTAATACAACCATGGTTCTCCTTCCCATTACTATTGGGCGGACCACATTTGCCTTTGTTTCGCAGTTTTCAGTGGCCCGTGGTGCCATATATAATGGTACGATAATCTCAACTTGCGCATTGTTGCATCTCAGAATTGAGCGACTGTTGCTAAATCCGTAATCCTATGCAGATCATATTGCCTTAGGATTTCAAATAGCACCATTCAGCTGGTCATGTGTTTTAAGTTGCAGTCCCAACGCTTTGCAATGAAATGAAGCACTGTAGTTCTGAGTGCAGGTTAGTGCATTATTTGGGCTTTCCCTCGCACCATCCCGAACTTGAAAGATCATCTTTCCGTTTGTGGCGTGGAATAGCAGACATTTATGCATTCAGCATTGGCTGCTACGTTCTTTGGGCAATATTGTCAGCTGCCAGATATGCGGTGTATTATCTCCAGACGCACGATCTGAGGGTGTTCATCCGACATGCTCTTAAGTGGTCTGCGATTGCTGCTAAAAGCGTGGTGCTCCTCTCATTATGGGTGGGTACATCTGCAACACCATGAATCTTGCCCTGTATGCTTGATACATGTGAATTTAGCCTCAGTTCTATTTGAGTTTTTGAAACAAACGAGGATTGGATCTAACTAGAATTTTCTAGGTCTTTTCACTTGGAATTGCTCAAACTTATGAAAACTGGTGCTCATGCTGGATGGTTCTAGCAGCTTGGGTTGATTCCAATGCTTATTGGTCTTATTTTTGAGCTGGTTGTCGTCGTACCATTACGCGACGGTCCTGTGGACGAGGGACCAAATCCTTTCCTGTATCACGATTGGGCTCTTGGACTTGTAATTTTGAAAGTCTGGACGAAACTGGTTAGTCTTTACCACTCCTTAAATTATTGGAGTTTACAGGCAATTCTCAAATTTTTCATGTAATCCATTTGTGCAAATGAAGGATACATTTGAATCCTTTTACATATGTTTCAGTTACGAATTCCTGATTTGATTTGATTTGTTTTTTGTTTTGTTTTGTTTTGTTTTTTTTTTTTTTGATGAGCAGGTGATGCTTGGACACTCAATACCTTTTATTGATGATTCCTGGAGAGTGAAGTTTGCGCAAGTATGGGATGATGGGTACTCTCGCTTGCGAGGGTGGTGGGTTTTCAGAGAAATCATACTTCCGTTCCTTATTCCCTTATTCGTAGTTCTATGCATTCCTTACGTCCTTGCACGTGGTATAATTCTAGCTTCATTCGGGTGCTCTTGGTTCGCCGGTTATCCAATCTACCGATACGCATGGTCGGGTTGCTTACTGTTGTCCCTCTCTTTGCATGGTGCCAAGCGAGTGCACAAGTGGTTCATGGACTTGCACAATGCCATCCGCGATGATCGGTACCTTGTTGGTCGGCGGTTGCACAATTTTGTAGACAGAAGAGCATCGACGCAACCACCAAGCACTCCTGGTGTAGGTACGTAAACCCCACCTAACAGGACCTCTTCTTTCCCACTTACTTTGTTGATGTATACTAAAAATTTTAAGTTATTTACCACGGATTCTTTACACGAATACTCAATTCTGAATATTTCCAGTTCCTGAAGAATCCGAGCGTGTTGCTGGACATGACTCAACATCTTCAGTATCTTGATTACTATCTGTCAATAACCTGGAAGTTGTACAAATTGAAGCAGAGGCGGTTTCAGCACTTGCGTCATTGCCTGCAGTAAGTAAAGGATTATCTGGAGTTGAAGATGGAAGACCCGTCTGTGATGTTGTTCAAGGTGGTGAGGCGGTTGCAGGGACAAGCTGTTCAGTGGTGAGAGCAGGTGGAAATTGTCTTGGAGAATGTTGCTTATGAACACTAGTGTATTCAAGGCCAATATTCTATCCAAGGGTGTTATTCACCCTACTAGTATCCCTCGGGTACCCTTCGGCATTGCACAAGCGTGGCCAGAACAGAGCCTTCAACGTTCGTAAGGATACTTCACACACATTAATCTAACCTCATGACTGACATCAAGCAATCATGTGGCAACTGCTTGTTGATTCCTCATTAAATAACGAACCTGTGCGACTGAATAACCATAAGGCCACATGTAGAGGGGAACCACCAGAGTTAGTATGAAATCAACCCGCTACGTTGACTTCTTGAATACTTCTACTTACTGAATTCATAGCTCAAAAGAGTTGATCATCTTCCCCTTATCAGACATTTTACCCATTATTTCTCTCCAAGCCTGGAAGATACTCGTCGGCAACAGATTCCAGAGGCATCCAGGTGTGAAAACAACGTCTAACAACGTCTATTCTCCCTCGCCATTTCTGTCACGAAATGCCGTAAATACATTCAACAAATCTTTTCTCCCAATATCCCAGGTCAAGCACTCCTGAACAACGAGCTTGTTGCAGAAAGGCAGCGATAGTCCAAGACAGATATGGCATTGTTAAATTACCCTCCGAGCTTACTTTCTACGCCTGACTGAGGGAAGACAGTGAAGAGGAAATACTTGTCTGGTTCCCATTGGACTATGACTGCGGCAATGACATAAAAGAATTTTCTGAACGCTGAAGTCCACAGCCCCCCCACTACCACATCACATTTATGACGTTAGTAGTCAGCAATGACATCCGCGGAAGAACAGCCCAAACTATTGCCGATGCCCGTATCGCATCTTACAACTACATTGCGACTCTCAACCAACGTAATTCGTCCTTTGATTCTTCACATAAGGTAAGCTAGAGTGCACAGAACAAAATGGTGGGCCCATTGGACTCGAAAAGAGTTCTGGCAGTGTAGTACTAGATTCCGAATTGCAACTGCAAATAAAGTGCACAGAAAGGATTGCTTAGGGCATGCAACTTCGAAGGGGAATCCAGAGAAGCCCCGCCGTTAGCCTTCCACGTCGCCTCAGATAAGAACTCTCGTCTCAAATTGGACGATAAACTCCAATTCCGCTGCCAAACAATGCCAGAAATATCTTTTTATTACGTCATTCTCTTTACGGCTATCCCTTGCCCTCTCGCCTCAACAAATGATATATTGTGTAAAAGCATAGATTGTTGAAGCACTCCATAAATTGGAATAAATCTGTAGATTGTGTGCACAGGAGTGGCAGTTGGTGCACTTCTTGGTTCAGAGAATGAAGGAAATTTAGCCTAACATTCAGCTCAAATTCTGGGGCGTCTACGCAACTGTAAGCTTTGAGTTGTAATTACTTCCTATGTTGTGGGTTGTGGAGCAGGATTTACTACTCAGCGACACTAGACCATGGTTTGAGAGGTTGCTGGAGAGCAGTTGAGGGCTTCGACTTGTGAAGTAGTTTCTTGTTAAAATTTTGAGGGTTGACTGCAAATCTCTCGTCGAAGCGGTAGGTTTCCCTTGTTGGGTGAAGTGCATGTTGATAGATGGAAAGTATACTGGTGTGCAACTTGAAGTGAGTTCACTAAGCATAACGTGTTTCAAGTTCTTGAAGCAAGCATTGGTGATTAGGGATCTTGAAAGAGGGGTGTTTTTAGATATGTGGACACAATTCAGGGAGTGAGAATCAGAGCAGCGAGCTTTTGAAAATTTGAAGAATCGTGTCGAAAGAGAGTATTCTGCTTAGTTCTTCCACGCCACATTAGAATGCAGAACAGGTCGTTCCTGAGGGTTTTCAATTACAAAAAGTTTCACGAACTTTTAACTGGACAGCAAATACTACGTCAATGTGTGCTAGAATCTGTGAATTGCATTCTTTGGTAAAATATGATTGTGACATCCCGCTCAGACAGTGTGGCTAGAACGGATTGATGGGGTGGCTTGAGCTTCCTTAGCCTCTCTCGAAAACATCTTGGAAGTATGAGACCAGTTAAAAGTAGTCAAACTGCTGCACTGGTTCTGGTGTTGTGCACAGAAGGAACGTTTTCTGAGATATTGTTACTTCTTCTAACTAATTTCGGCGATGCAGGCTAAATCTTCTTCTGGAAATATGAAGACTATGAGCCACTCGGCATTGTCACCAGCTCCAGTGATATGTGGCAGGAACGCCTCACCTCTCCCAACTAAGTCTAAATGTTTTCTGCTAATCAATAATTCGTGTAGACTATGGAGTGGTCCATTGCCAACGGTGAGCCCATTTCTCAATCCGAAACTAGTGTGCAGACTCTTGTTTCACACAAGAAGTACTGTGTCATTGAGGATCTTATATTATTCAAGACATTGCACACATAGGCCAATCCTCACTGGAGTCAGAAACTTTTGTGCCGGTATTCGAGGTTTCTGACAAACTGGATGACACCGTTGGACTGCATGTGCGGGGTTTAGAGGGGCGGTGGAAAATGTCACCTCGGTCACCAGGATTTAGTCTCTACAGTGCTCCAAGCGCGCGCTAAAGCGCCCCTTTCTTCTTCTGAAGAGAAGCAAACTTCAAGAACTGACGTTGTCTTTGAAGACCACGAGAATACAGGAGTGAGAAATATTTGCGTAGAGATCTGCGACACAACCTCCCGGATGCAATTGGCTGCTGGGTTTTCTGTCGCAGTTGCTTTCTTAGTGGCCTTCACGGACGTCGGCTCTGCGATTGCCAGGTACAGTGATCATCTTTATTCGTGATTGCGCATCATATTTGTTGTGTACACCCATATGTCAAAACATTCTGAGAGCCACTCGGACGAAAATCTCATGGACTCGCTGCCATCAGGCCAGGTGAGATTGATTTGCCGCCCATTGAGCCGGAGGTTGCGACCGTCTCCAGTGCGAAAGAGATCAACCTGGCGAAGCAGCTGAGAGCCATAGGGGCCAAAATGTACGGCGCATTTTGGTGCTCGCATTGTTTTGAGCAAAAACAGGTGAGGATTCTAATTTCAGATTTATCTTGTTTAACTGATATTGCTTCTTCGGTGCTCAGTGTTATCTTATTAGGGATGAATCGATGAATGAATCATGTGTTCAGATGTTCGGAAAGGAGGCATTGAAGTATATCGACTACGTGGAGTGCTATCCTGAAGGGTATAGAAGGGGTGTGAAACTTGCTGCTGCATGCTCTGCTGCTAACATCCAAGGATTCCCGACATGGATCATCAATGGCCAGGTATGCACTCCATCACCGAACTCATGCTACCATGGACCCCATTTCGGTAGTTTGTCAATTCAGATCTTGTGCATAACTCTTACGACCTCTCATCTTTCCGTGTACATCCGCCAAATGGATTGCTTCAGCCAGCTTCTGGAAAGTTGCATTTGCTGGGAGCTTCGCAAAAAATTGGTTCGGCTGATAATAATTAACGTCTTCTGATTTTCAGCAATACTCTGGAGAACAAGAGTTCGATAAATTGGCCGAGCTCTCGGGGTTCAATACCCCACGAGTGATGAAATGAAAAGCTTTTCAAAGTGTGCAATTTGCAGGCTACTTTGGTGCCTTTGAACGGTTTGCACGCTACCGAGGTTCTCGACAGGCACATACCATACTCGCAGAGAATTGGACGACTATCTTTGGGTGAGAATTATTACCTTAAAGCAACAAGCATGTGAGTCAATCATCTTGAATATTGTGCAGTTGTTCTTTGAACAGCATTGTGAAATGTACTAATTGAATCTGAATTCTAGTTCTGCACATATGCTAACATTGTGTAAACCCCTTTTTGTTGCTAATGAATCTGCATCACACATTTTGAATTGCAGATTTGTATTTTTTTCAAACTCCAGTGACTAGACTGATTGATATGACTAAGTTGTGTGCAAGCTCGTGACTGGGCTAGATGTGGCTATTGTTGCAACAATACAATATCAATTTCATTGAACACAAATGACTTGCAGCTCACTTCTCATGCCATGGGTGTGAGGGTGCACTTTCTGTGCTGCTAAATAATACGAAGTGTCGCATGTTCTTCAATATCTTTACTCAAACACACACAAAACCTTCAAACGATTTGAACTTCGTAGCTTACAGCTGACTCAACTGCACGTGCTGCTTCTGTCTGGTAACTGCAGATTTCCGTTTTCGTGATCCATAGCTAACCAGGCACCTGAAACACAATGACGCGTCATACCACCCGAGAGATGCTCGTTCTCAATGCAGCATAACTCACTCACCACGTGAAAGTTATGATCCAACACCACGTCCGCGTGTCTTGAAAGGGACACCGGCAACACATGACGTATCATACACATGCTTGTACTGACGCACTACAGGGTTGCTTAAATATCGTGCCAAACACAAAACCCTCACACAAAAATTCCTCTTTTTACGCCCAATTTCGTGATTCATTTGAGAGGTGCAGTTGACTAGCGCTCTCGGACCCAAAAACCCAGATGTCAAGCACACAACCCAGAGGCAGAAAGTTGGCCACCTCTTAAGAAGGGAATGCTCAATATTAGGGTTACTGGTCGCAACGTAGCTACTGAAGTATTCCTTTCTCACCGGTATGCCCATCCCCTCTGATAGTAGCTTCATCACATCATCAAGGTTGTCATGCTACGTCTTCTCATTTCTATTTTTATCACAACGCCAACAATGCAATCATGCTGGAGTGAGGATGGAATCACCCGATGAAAACTTGGTTAAGAACGCTTGATTTTACAGTTATTTTATGAGGTCACGCAGTGCTGTTTGTGAGGGTTGGATGTAGGCGACGACACACCTTATACTTTTACATTGACGAGGTTAAGACTGGTGAAATGCAAGGGGTGCTGTGGAGCTTGAGGTCTGCGCGAGAGAAGTGGTGAGAGGCTTGTTTTGGAGGATCTATCATTTTAGTGTGAGGAGGAAGCACTGGTGAAGTTGGTAGGGCGGGGGAGCTGGATGAGTGGAGTGGCAGTTGGGGCATGGTCACCACAAGCACTGGTGCGATGCGCCACCTTCTGCACGCCCCACACGAGCACGCCAAGTGTGGGCCATGCCCTGTTGCAGCACTTCCTGCGAGGATGGCCTGGGAATGAAGTGAAAAGAAATGTGAGGAGTGTCGGTTTCTCTACTGGTACTGCCTGTGCTGCTGGTGTCTGTAAGAAGACATTCTTCTGCCCGTTCCACTCCAACTCCAGTTCTTTGCGGCTCTACCACCGGACATCTCGTCTCCCCTACCAGCAGTATCAGCCGATTGCCCTTCTCTGTGCCTCATGCACATGTAATTAGTGATAGTCTTGCTGTTAGCAGTCCAATCGGCGAGTGAGGAGTCTTGTTCACAATGTTTCGGTCTGCGAAGCTCACGTTTGGCGTTATTCTCCGAATGGGTGACGCTGTTGGCCTCGTGGAAACGACATAATTGAATGGGATTGATGTGGCAGGCTTGCCTTGAACGGGAGATTGGCTGGTTCGTGCAAATCCGTTTCTTCAATGGAAAAACAGCACGTGAATACCCGGTTGACTGCTCCTGATTGCCCAGATGTGGTGATCGGTAATCCAGTGCAGCTGGAGGAAAAAAAGAAGGCCATTAAGTCTGCTGGACTTTCCACTCTGCAGGTACGATACCAGTTTTTATCTTATAAGCTTTTGCATTGCTGACCTTTTGTTCTCGTCTATATTTCTGTCATCTGTTGCAGTGAACTGAAAATGTATTGGTCTTCATATGCATGTGCAGGTCATTGCAGATTTTGATATGACTCTCACCAAGTACTTGGTCGATGGTGTGCGTGGTCAAAGTATGTGTAATCTTCAGAAAGAATCTGTAGAAGTTCAGTCGTTGAACTAAGAAAATTCTAGGTAGAAATGAAAATAAAATTAAACAAAGTAAAATCGTGCGATGATTTTCTGCATGTAATCCACTGAGGTTTTGTGAGCTTCTTTGAAGACTTAGATTGGATGTTATCGATCTCTTGTTTATGTTTGTCATGTAGTCTAATTTCTTGGGTTTTCCCCATTTTCATGTATCTATGCAGGCACCCATGCTTTATTGAAAAGCAATCCTGCCTATGACCGAAAGCGGCATGAGTTGTTTGAGTATTATTACCCCTTAGAGATTTCTCCAACCCTGCCTGCTGACGAGAAGGCCAAACATATGGAAGAATGGTACGTTCCATGAACTCTTTGAATACACTGGAGCATTTCGTTGAGTGAGAATGAATAAATCCGATGAATCTTCGATATGCCTGTGCATTCTAGTTTTCTGTGGTTTATAATAATGATGTGATATAATACTATAAATTGCTCTTTTGGTGTACATTTTGGCATGATGCTTTTATTTTAATGTTTTTTAATATGGACTCTTTCTTGGTTTGTGGTCTTTAATGAGTAGGTGGGAGAAATCACATGCTTTATTGATTGAAGGCGGCCTCAACTACGAGTCAATCGTTTCTTCTGTTGCAAATGCTACTATAAGTTTTCGTGACCGAATCACCGAGTTTTTTGAGACTCTGGATGTATGTAGTCTAATGTACTTCTCTTTCGTTCAGAGCACATAATATCTGATTTGTAGAGTGGGATAACCTTGACTACTGAACAATTGTCTCCGACTGCTTGCTTTAGTCCGAACAAGGGACTGTGTGAATTTGCGTTCTTCAGGACCTTTCAATTCTTATTCTTTCTTTGCTGATTTTACAAATTATTTATCAGGAAGATGGGGTACCGTTGCTGATTTTCTCGGCTGGTCTTGCTGATATAATTGAAGAGGTATGCAACAGAAAATGACGAGTTTCTGAGGCTCTTCATTTACGTTTACATTTTTTAGTGCTTTTTATCTGTACAACCTATTCTGAATTTTCGGAAGTGTAGTTCTAGGACTTCAGCTAGTCTATTAGTCCACTGGTTTAGCTCGATGGTATGGACTCCCCACACTGATTTTTGAATTATTCTGGACTTTTCGTGCTAATTTCTTGTGCTCTGCGATTCAGGTATTAAAACAAAAGCTTCATCGAGTATTTTCAAATATAAGAGTCGTGTCTAACCGCATGGAATTTGATGACTGCGGTGATCTTATAGGTTTCAAAGGTAAATTCTCGACAATGTATCTATGTATTTAGAAAATTATGGCTTGGGTTGTATTATGCGCTACTCATGTTGAGCAGTACATGGTCATTATAATCTTAACGACCATTTATCGCTATCATCCATTTTTTATTATTTATTTTTTTATGTTTAAAGATAGTTTTTAAAAGGCCAATCAATAACATGGATCATTTTTTACCTTAGGAAAAACCATCCACGTGCTGAACAAGAACGAGCATGCCTTAGAGATGGCCGCACCTCTACATGATGATGATGGGAATCTTGTGGGAGAGAACACTGGAGCAGCTATAATTCAAGGCCGTTCAAATGTATTATTGTTGGGTGATCATCTCGGCGACCTTGGAATGTCAGATGGCGTTGATTATGATAACCGCATTTCCATAGGATTTTTGTGAGTTTTTGATGACTCTGAAATTCGCCAATCATCTTATTTTCTTGAGTGTCTATACTTCAAGAATTTGTGAAATTGCACGATTTTGAGGCCAAGAATAGCTAACATCATTGAAAAAATTAATGGGCATTCGAATCAACAGGACAATATCGAAATTACGAAATTCTAGATAGAATCTAAGGCCTATTATACATTTGAGCTTAATTCAATTGCTGCACGTTCACCTTTTAGTTTCTCAATGAAGTTTGAAAAAGTTGTGAACTTTGTTCTCAGAAATGAAAACGCTGAGAATTGGCTTGAGACCTACAAGAAGGCTTTCGACATTGTTATTCTGGTAAGTGCTTTCTACTCCATTTCGGTAGCCAATTCGTAGATGTGCTAATTCAGCGCGATTCAATGTGTTGACGCCTCTCTTTAACACATCCGAGGATTATTTTTATCCAAATTCTGGACATTTTAGGACTTCAAATTTTTCTTTTATCGGGCGGTTTAACCGTTTGGATTCTGAATCTGGTCTGAAGTTGTTATAAAAGGCTAGTGTCATTATGGTATATAGCATTCTATGTGTCACCTGAAGTGTATATCTTACATACTAATTCTCCTTGACGCCATTGTTTTTGTGCAGAATGATGGCTCCTTGAAACCTGTTATTGAACTGGTGAAGGAACTGCGTACTTAAGCGATTCCCAAAGTGACTTAACATCATCACCAATTGTCAAAACATGAGATTACTCAATTTTTACACCTGATTTTTCTATGCCACAAAGTATGTAACAAAGTGAAACTATTGACAGTACGATTGGCTTAGACATTCATTGTTCATGCAGAAAATATTTGTGGTAGTTTGTAATGGAACTATTAGTAACAATCTGAACTTGTTGCACTGTTTGTGAAGTATACTGGAAGGTGAAATCCTTTCTTGTCGGATTCCAACAGTTCACTGATTCAAGATTGGCATCCTCCCTTCTTATTGCATGGCTTTCTGTGACAGTGATCATGTATGTGTTATGAACTTGTATGGGTTTGTAGGAAGGCTTGCAATGTGAAAGAAGGATTAACTGGCTTTAATATTCTATTTGGTAACATGACATCTTTAATATCTTAAATTCTTGTTTTTTACATTAAATTTTTTCATGTTTTGGTGAAGATACAGTTTCTTTGAACAGGACTGAAACTATAGACTCATATGCAGGCTCAATTCTAATGAAGCACAATTTTTTTAATGAACATTTGTCATGAAATTGTCAAAAATTGTGTCCTATATTGACAGAATAAGAGAACATTCTTAAACTCATAGTTATAAAACAATAAATTTGAGATAGTAAAAAGCGATTATTGAGGTGGAAATGCAATGCTGCCCCTCTTGTGTCGCTCCATTCACATTTACACTCTCTTTTCATATTCATTTGTGTCCTTTACACAATGTAGGACAAAGTTCTCTATGTCCCACACTAGAAGGGCATGCTCCTATGCAAAGGATGAGCTATTTTAAAATTTATATTTGTTAATACATATTGTTAAAATTCAAGTGGAAAGTGAAAAACTTTTGACACATGTATATCTAAATGAATGCATATAAATATTACATAAAACCATAATGCATAAATGTGCCAAGAAATATTTATCTACAAATCATTATTTTTTTTGTCCAAATTTGATTGGTTGGAAGGCTTTTATTCTAATCATGTTCAATGAAAAAAATGAAAAAAAAAAAATGAATCACAATTTTCTTTATTCAACATACATTTTAATCAAAACATTTTTTTAAAATTATTGATGTAATGTATATTTAAGCATCCTCAAATGAATCTATAACATCTATCAATACTTCATAGAAGAAATTGTATGTTAACTTATGTATTTGTAAGTATCATACATATATACATACACAATTTAACAAGTTGCAAGAAAAATCATTATTTGGGCTAGAGCAAAACCTAGATAGAAACGAATGTGGAAGAAGATAAAACAAAGCTAATTTACACACATGCAACATCAAAGTCCATTACATTAATAATTCTTATTTGGACTATGTTTTTTTTAAACATTTGTAAATTGCATGATTGAAATACATATATATCAAAATATTTAAGATTCTAAAAAATTAAAATTTCAAGTTATAAAATATTTCTTTAAATATAAACAATTCTTCAACTAATGTATTTTTTTTTACATTATAAATGACGAAAGAAAAATCCAGCGAGAAATTTCAGACCCTCTAGTATTGCTCAAAAGAAGTGGTCAGCACAAGGTGATCAGGTGTTACCTTTCCGTGGGTATTCCTTCAAGCAGAGTTTGAAAAGTGGCTGTTGTCATCAAACTGTGGTCATTGGCCCATGTCCAGTAACAATGACAACATACGTCGAGCACCTACAGGGGTAGTTGCAGGGCTAGAATTTTTTTTCTTCTGACCTTGAACAATCTGTATTTCCATCAGAAGGACGATGCAGGTCAAGCTTGACACAACACATCCTAGATCACAGTGGAGTTGTTTTACTGAATAATCTTGTAAAAATCCTGATTCAATTCAAAGCAAAATAGAATAGTACACAAGGTGGATTGTAGAACGATTCCCTTACTTTCACAACTATGACTGCAACAACACCGCCTACGATCAAAAATAAAAACCCCATGATACACTTATCTGTTGCCATCTGTGAAGACGAAGTGCTTGTGAGTCTCCTTTTTTGGGTGACCCCAAAGAAGAACATAGGTGTTAGTAAAAACTTGGTTGTTTGTACAATGAATGTTGCACCACCGAAATACGAAGATTGGAGAAATAAGTAAGTACAATACCGTACAACTTTTGAGGGAATTATAAAAATAGATTCTCTTACTGGCTTCATGAAAATATGCATCACATAATGTACCCCTCATTGTACGTTACCAAGAACTATCATGCACACCGATGTCATAGAAGCCACTCCGATTCAGATTCTCACCTGTTTCCCAACCTCTCGCACAAGTTGAGCGGCCTTCTTTATGGAGAACTGAATGGTGTCCAGTTCATTTACAATCCTCCCCAATTGCTCGGTCTGCAGTGCATCCCATGGCCCATGATACATCAACAGGCACGTGTACAGTGATTGCTAAGTGTCTCTTGTTTACCTCTGCATAGTTACCTAAATTAATTGACCCGTATACTAATGAAGTGGGAGTAAACCATCTTCAAGATGAATTGACGTCATTGTAAACCTGGGCTTTAAGAGTGACAGCAGTTTCTGTGCCAATATGCAACGTGTCTTCTACAACCTGCAACGAAGCCCACAAAATTGTATCCATTCTTAAGTCAAGAGATGAGTACATCAGAACGCAAACCATATTAACAAATTTCTAAGTCCCAGGATGATGATCTTAGAACATACTCTCTTGGAGCGTTCGATACTTTTGTCCATTTCATCCATTTGCTTTCTCCCAACTTGTAAAAGCTCTTGATTAGACATTGCTGATCGGGCGAAACAAAATTGCAAAAAAGATAACGATGAACTTATTTTTTTGTTCATAGATAGACCGAAATAAGACTTGGAAATGCATAGGTATAGGCATTGAGGTTGTAGAAGGGCAGCAGAACCCTACGATGCCATCATTCGCAATCCAGAAGGTGTTACAAGATATAATGCGTACTTTTATGACACAGTCTTCCTTGTCCTTTTTCCATCACAATTTTTTTGTAGTGATGCGCTCGGTTATAAAAAATGTGTGTATACAGAATGACAATCTTACTCCTATTAGAACTTAAGCCTTACTTGATGCCACTCGATACGCTTGGTTGGTCGCTGTCCCAGCTTGTGATCCACCTTCAAATAACTCAGCTTTGGATGAGATCGTGCTAGAAAATGTTTTTCTCAATGCAATATACGTATTCAACTCCCTGATCTACACACAGGAGAACAGTGCCATCCAGAATATGAGAAACACATCAGGTCGCTATGGGGTTCCGGATGTGGGTTCCGAAAAATTTCGATTCTAACTTACAAGAAACTGAGTAGGCTTTCTTGGATAATATAGTAACTATGAATGAAACAAAACATTGTTACATCATTTTAAATTTCTTGGGTAACAACCCTAGGGGAAAGTTACCAGTGACTTTTTCTTTTCAGCAACAGTCTTGTTAAGCTCCAGATTGGTTGGGTCATCTTTGATCCCCTGATCAAAATCTTTAAGGATCCTGTAAATGAAACCGTCGCTATAGCTGCTTGATAACATGTATGAGATTCGACCGACAATTTTCACCGAGAATATTTTCTTAGTACCCCACCTGCAACCTCGAAGGTGAACATGAGACTGACTACATAGTATGATAGCATATTCAGTTAGGTCCACGAAAATAGGGTGCAAACCGTTTTACACCCCGCATCTTGCCCGTCAGCTCTTCCAATTGCTTTCGTTGTTTCTCGAGATCTTTGATTTTGTCCAGCCTTTGGAAGCCCTCACTGAAGATAACAATTAGCAAATAAAATTTTAATATGGCGTGCCAAAATCTCATAAGTTGGAAAACCGGGAGTATTTCTCACTTGCGTCTCCTATACCTGGCAGGGTTGCTGGTCGTTGAATGTTGCATTGTTTTTATAACCATTAGTAGGTGGAAACTTGTAGGTGTCCACAAAGTAGAGTTTCGAATGATTCATACTCTCTTTACCAGTCCCTTTCTATGCAATGAGGTCAATCGGAAGTAGTGCATGTATTATGCATTTTCTACCACGGGTTTTCATTCAATTTGCGAAGATTAAAGAGATTACTTACTTGAGATCCTTGAAAATTTGTTGAACTTCAGCTTCAAAAGCCATGATCTCTGGTGGCAACTCTGCAGCCATTGCAAACCCTAAATCTCTTGCTAATAGTTGATGCCTTCACTATTCTGCCTCAATCATACACAGGTAAGCAAGCAGAAGCGACTATCTGCAACGTCTGCCTCGAAGAAATCTGCACATTAATCTCCCACAACCTTGATCTCCCCAAAAGTGCAATATCCTCCACACATTCGCCATGGTACCATAGTGAGAGCTCATATCATAATTTGAGAATCACGTCAACAGTGGGAGGTAAGCAATCAGGATCAGCATGCTACTCCTCCCAGCTATCGCTCGACTAAGGTATGACGCCGTTATGCATAGAAAAGATCCCAACTCCTTGGTTTACACAACCTCCAGAACTTGGACAAATCAACAACAATTCCCGTCGTCAACAATCAGGGCATCGTTTCTGCAAAGGTGTGAATTCTGAACCATGACTCTGCCTCATTGTAAGAATGGTTCCACGAGGCATTCCACAACACACTCCATAGCTGTGTTAAACAATGCAAGATGTGTTTGTCCGATGCCAAGTGCCTGCCACAAATTCCCATGTGCAATCCACAATCACATGAGCAGTGTGTGCTCTCTCTCTCTATCTCTGCTGCCTGGAACAAATACAGATATAACCCGCAAGGTCTCTCTCTCTCTCGGCTTCGCAGCCAAGCACAACAATAACAAGCTTGCCAAAACTCAAGCACCAAGAGAAAGTCTGTGACTACATATGCTCTGAAATCACCACAAACACATAAGGCCCAAGCTCATTCACACACATACACACGAATTCACAAACACACATGCACACACAAGTTCATAGTTCCCTATTTGTGGTGTTGTAATGTTTTATGAAGGATTACTGTTAGTGAACTCTCTATCATGGTAAGTTATGTGTCATTTGTAGTTATTGGGGCATTCTAAAGTTTTGTGTGCACATGGAAAGTAATGTATGTGAGGTGCCTTGTTTTTCTAAAGTTTGCAACAAATTGCAAGTTGACAGAGTTTGTTATGTTTTTGTTAATTAATTAAAACACTTGTTTAAATATGATTGGTTGTAGTTGTAGGTCTATAATAACATCTGGTGTTGTATTACAAAACAAATATATGTATATGGTAATAGCCTATTGCCATCTACTTTTTGAAATTTTAGTGCAAATATTTCACAACTTTCAATAGTAAAAATGATCAATTGCTACTTTGTCAATAAAAAATTTAATCAACTATTATTGTTTTTTTTAATCTTTAACGTAAGTGGATAAACTAGATTGTGATTATTAAAAAAATAAAAAAATAAAAATTAAAACAAACAATAATTCTAATAGCTAATATTTCTTACATTTATCTTAGAAGTCATAATCATTATTTTTTTACAAATTCAAATTACTTAAAAGATAAATTGCTGATTTTTATCTAACAAGCATCTTAGTGTCACGGACACAGAAATACAGACTCGAGATCTAACAAGAAGTTCAAGAAGAACTGGCAAGAACTAGATTAATCAGATGAATATAAGAACAACACCAGAGAGGTGAGCTAGAGCTCCAAGAGATGTGTTGTCGAGACTGAAGAACTCTTCAGCCTCGATTCCAATATATACTCCTATTTAGGAAGCCTCTCAAGCAACTTCTACCAACTAGGAAGCTCCTAGAAGGTTCTAGAGACTTGCTTCTAGAAGGTTTTAGAAACTTGTCTCTAGAAGATTCTAAGGACTATGTCCCTAACATCTTCTACCAACTAAAAAGTTTCTAGAAGGTTCCAGAGACTTGCTTCTAGAAGGTTCTAGAAACTTGTCTCTAGAAGGTTCTAAGGACTATGTCCCTAACATCACCCCCTCCTTTAGCTTCGAGGTCTCTGAGAAGCAATGTTGTTGTTAATCAGTACCAACGTAAGAAAATGAAGATCTGTCGCATAGCGTCTGCTATGAACTCCAACTGTTGTTCACGAGGCAAGTGGTTCATTGGCCCTTAAAGCCAACGGTAATAGCCCACTCCTTCGACTTTTGACCAAGTATGAACTTTCATATCCTCATTGTGAAATTGTCTTGCAAACATGCCTTCTAGCTGACCATCGTAAGTAGGCTCGAATTCAAATACAATCACCAATGATTGGTTACTTGGTATCCTCCGTCGTCGTCATGGTGTAGGCAGTTCTTCATCTCGGGGTCGCCTTCGTGAGTTAGTTGGTTGAGATAATCTGACTGGCATAGTATCTATCTCTTGGCTATCCATATCAGAAGACCAAACTATGGCTACTAAAAAAATTCTACTTTATCTTGGAGAAAATAACTACATCAACTACGAATTTTGGTGGTGTTCTCTCCCTTTTTTATATTCTTGGGTGAGCAAGCTTCAGAAGGAAGCTATCGTCGAACCGGCTTAGGTTTATGAGCATGTTGTTGATGAAACTCATGTACCTTTTGTGGCGCATTGGCGAGAATTTCAGTTGGCTCCCAAGTTCGCTCATTAATGTCGTAGCCGCACCAATGAACAAGATACTCCAACTTGCCCCACCTTTGCCGTAAATCCAGTACCTTTTCAACCTCGTATTCCTCGTGGTTCTCGATCTCAATACTAGGTGGCAGACATTGCACTCTTCCAGAAAAAGACGACTCTTGATAAGGCTCCAACAAAGAAACATGAAAGACTGGATGTACCTTCATAGAATCAGGTAATTCCAGACGGTATGCCACTGGATTGATTTGCTTCTGGATGATAAATGGTCCCAATCTTCGATAGTCCAACTTATCACATGGTTATTTAGTCTTGATATTCCGTCAAAGAAGCCATGCTTTATCTCCAATTTTGAAAGTAGGTGCTTGATTTTGAAATCTATCTGCAGACGCTTTATAGGATTCTTGAGCAGATTGTAATTGAAGCTTCAACGTATTTTGAAGCTCTAATAGTTGTTTCGCAAATCTTTCAGCTGTTGGATTGTTATTTGTTGACGGACTCAATAAATCAAGCTTCGGATGATATTCATAATTGGAAAAGAAAGGTGTATATTGACTCGATGCATGGAGGGTGTTGTTATATGCAAACTCGGCTAGCCATAGATATGTGGTCCAATCGTCTTGTTGATAGCTGATGTTGCATCGTAAGTATTGTTCCAAGACTTGGTTCACCCATTCCGTTTGGTTGTCAATTTGAGGATGAAAAGCTGAAGAAAGCTTGATATCCACCTTCAGTATCTCAAAGAGAGATCTCCAAAACTTTGATATGAATTGGGTTCCTCGATCTGATACGATATCATCTGGTAGTCCATGATATCGATACATATTATCGAAAAAGAGCCTTGCTGTGACTTTACTAGATGATGTCTTCTTACAAGGGACAAAGTGCGCCATCTTTGTAAGTTGATCTACCACGACAAAGATGCTGGCAAATGAGTTCGATGATGGTAGGTCCGTGATGAAGTCCATGGAAACTGAAGACCATGGTCGACGTGGAATCGGCAATGGCTGTAGAAGTCCATAAGGGCGATGTTGAGGATTTTTGGATCTTGAACAGATGTCGCAAGAGAGGACAAAATCTTTCACATCCTTCCACATTTGAAGCCACAAAAAATCTCGAGAAATGAGCTCCAAGGTCTTGTTGAATCCAAAATATCCCGCAATTAGAAAATCGTGGCGAGATTGAAAAACTCGGAGTCGTGCTGGTCCTTTTGGGATATATAACCGCTCCTCAAAGTATAAAAGATCTCCCTCCACCTTGAACTTGTCATCATTGATACACTGCTTAATATCAATGGCTACTGAATCTTCAATGGGCACGACACGTACCTGATTCAGGAAGTCATCATCAATTGGCACAATAATAGCGCAAAGCTGAAATTGCTCTAGCTTCAACAATGTCGTACATTGTTGATCAAATGCTGCTTCTCCAGCCTTTGGTACAAGATATCATCTCCTTCATAAGGCATCAGATTGTCCTTGCTGCTTTCCAGGTCAATAAGTGATAACAAAATCGAACCTAGATAGCAACAAACTCTATCAAACTTGACGTCGATTTAGAACTCGAGCCGACATGAAATACTCCAAATTCTTGTGATCTGTGTATACGATCACTAAATGTGCAGCTCCTTCAAGAAAGTGATGCCATTCTTGGAAAGAATCCACTATAGCAAGAAGTTCCTTATCGTAGATCTCATAATTGATTTGAGCAGCAGAGAACTTTCGAGAATAGAATGCAACCAGATGGAGCTTCTTATCTTCTCCTATTTGTGAAAGTACAGCTCCCAAAGCAAAATCCAAAGCATCAGTTTCTAAATAAAAGGCCTTTGTAAAGTCTGGATGTACCAAGATTGGAGCCGTAGTAAATGTGGTCTTCAGGTCTTGAAATGCCTTCTCCGCTAGAGGTCCCCATTCTAGCTTATCCTTGCATGTCAACCGAGTGAGAGGAGTAGCAACTTTAGAGTAATTCTTGATGAAGATCCGATAGAAGTTGACAAAACCAAGAAAGCATTATATGTCTCTAACTGTCTTCGAAACCTCCCAGGACATGATTGCTTCCACCTTCTTGGGATCCATCTTCAAGCCTTCCGTAGTCGCAACGAATCCCAAAAACTCCACCTCTATTTGGTGAAATAAATACTTCTCTAACTTAGCATATAGTCCTCGTTCATGTAGTTTCTCCAAGACCAAACGAACCTGCTTTTCATGCTCTTCTTCGTTTTTGGAAAATATCAGAATATCATCCAAATAGATGACAATAAAATCGTCAAGGTGCTCTCAAAAAATGTCATTCATCATATGTTGAAAGACCGCTTGAGCATTGGTAAGACCAAAGGGCATGACATTATACTCAAAACGGCCATATCTTGTACAGAACGCTGTCTTTCACTCATCTCTTTCCATGATTCGTACGAGGTTGTAAGCTCCTCTTAGATCAATTTTTGTAAAGTTCCTTGCATGTCCAAGTTGTTCTAAGAGACTAGAAATCAAGGGTAACGAGTAACGATTCTTCTTTGTTACCTTGTTGAAGCCTCGATAGTCCACGCACATCCGCAATGAGCCATCTTTCTTCTTCATAAATAAGATGGGTACTCCACATAACGATTTTGAATGACGGATGAAGTTCTTGGCTAGATTCTCATCAATGTACTTTCGTAACTCCGCCAACTCCATCTGCGATAGATTGTAGATTGGGCCAAAAGGCGGTTGTGCTCCTTCCTACAAGTCTATGGCGCAATCATATGGTCGGTGTTCCGATAGCATGTCGGCATTCTTCTTTTGAAACACGTCTTTAAAATCCTTATATTGCTCAGGTATACTTGTTGTTGAGATCTTCTCCCCGGCAGTTGGAGCCGCATAAATGACAAACGGTGTGCCTTCCTTGGACGATCTTATAAACGCTCTTGCTCCAATGAATAAGGATTTCTCTATTCGGGGTTTCTTACTAGGCTTGCTCTTGGATGGTTTTGTGGGAAAGGTCATCTTCCACAACTTCCAATCTATGGATGGATTATGCTTTTCCAACCAGGAAAGATCAAGAATAACAGGATTTGATGGAGTTCTAATAATATTGAAAATAATATGACTACTATGGCCCTTAAACGTCACTTCTATAGGTTCTGATTCATGGGTGATACTACCAGACAATAAAGGTCGCCCATCTATGACTTCAACGTGAATATGTTTGGATTTTTGTACTAAAGGGATTTTATGACGCTTTGCAAATTCTTCGTCTAAGAAACAAGCAGATGCTCTTGAATCTAATAATGCTAAGGTTCTCATTTTCTGAGGGCCAATAAGCAAAGGGATTGTAAAGCAAAGGGCAGGTTGAGCGGAAAGAAAGAAACCTGATTGTTGTTGCGATATTTCACTGTCCAGCCGCACGGTTCTTATTGTGGTTGAGCATCCTTGTTTTCCTGAACAAACGCGCCCCTACTCCTGACAATACATCGATTTTGCTTCTTGGGGCAGTTTCCAACTTTGTGGCCTTCTTCACCGCAATACAAGCATAGACCTTCCTCCATACTCCGCTTTTTTTCTTCTAGAGTAAGGGATTGGACACGTACTGTATCAATTTGCATGTCTTCTACCTCTGAATGTGAATTCACGCTGTTTGTCGACATAGTTGGGACATGGTAAACCGTATGTTGTCTTGAACGTTGGTCTTGGCGGCGTTGGAATAGGCGGTTATCGCACTTCATAGCTTGGCTAATAGCTTCGTTGAGTGTTTGCGGATCAGGAAGAATTAACAGCAAATCCTTCATATCATCCCTTAAACCCCAATAGAATTGACTCATCAACGCTTCTTCGTTCCAATTGATGTCGCATGCTAATTGCCTAAAGTCCGATGCATAGACTGATATAGAGCGCATCCCTTGTCGTAGTGATTGGATCTTTGTTGTAGCCCATCGAACCTTGTCATGTTCACCAAATGCTTTCGCAAACGCCTCCAAAAAGGTTTCAAAGTTGTTTAGTATAGATGATCATTTTTCAAACAAAGGAACAAACCATGATAGAGCTTGTCCTGTAAGTAAGGTTCCAACAAGCCCAACACGTGACTACTCTGTTGGATAGCGTTCGGGATGTACAACTGTTATCAACCTGATTTGGTTGACGAATCCTCGAAACTTGGAACGCGTACCATCAAACTTATCCGGAAGGCTAACTCGGGGCTCCTTATGTTGTAGAACCAGCGGTGCTTGTCGAACCTGAGGCAAAGTTGCTTCTCCAAGTGCAGAAGTTTGAGGCTGGTGCAACCTAGATTGTGCCATCCCAGATGCTCCATCATTATGAAGCCTTGCCACGACTCTTTCAATCTCTGCAGTTCTTTGTGATAACGTAGCGAGGGCATTCATAATAGCATCCAACTTGGACTCCGAACTTTTCGTCATACTAATGTCTTGACCTCTGGCCATTCTAAGAGAAGGACAGAAATGACTCTACAAGAAGACAATATTGGTTTAGAAGAGGGTACTCTGCAACCTCTAAAATGCCTTAAGAGCTTCAAGAAAAGGGGTAATCCACTCTCTCCAAGAAGAATAAGACTCCAATATTGTAACAAAAGAAGTATCAGTTTAGAGGAGGGTAATCCACAACCTGTAAAACTTCCAAGCAGAGGGATAATCCACACTCTAACGAGGAAGAAACTAGCTCTGATATGTGAGGTGAGTGAAGTCTCGACAAACTGTCACGGACATAGAAATACAGACTCAAGATCTAACAAGAAGTTCAAGAAGAACTGACAAGAACTAGATTAATCAGATGAATACAAGAACAACACCAAAGAGGTGAGCTAGAGCTCCAAGAGATGTGTTGTCGAGACTGAAGAACTCTTCAGCCTCGATTCCAATATATACTCCTATTTAGGAAGCTTCTCAAGCAACTTCTATCAACTAGGAAGCTTCTAGAAGGTTCCAGAGACTTGCTTCTAGAAGGTTCTAGAAACTTGTTTCTAGAAGATTCTAAGGACTATATCCCTAACATCTTCTACCAACTAAAAAGCTTCTAGAAGGTTCCAGAGACTTGCTTCTAGAAGGTTCTAGAAACTTGTCTTCAGAAGGTTCTAAGGATTATGTCCCTAATACTTAGTTTACAAGAAGATAATTTAAATGATAAGGGATAAGTTATTTTCATATTTTTATAAATAAAAATATTATATGTTGTCTTATAATCAATACATGTGATATTTCTTTTTTTGGATTAAGTTTTGGATCTAAAGTAAAGTTATAAAATATCCCAAACAATGATTATTTTAGTTATAAATAAAATATAAAATCTAATAATTAATTTACTAGGATCACTTATGTTGAAACACCAACAAAGATATTTAGAAAAAGAACAAATTAGAATGTGTAGATATAATATGATTATTATGTATGAATGTAAGTGGTAAATATCATCACAATACTACTGAAAATAATAAAAATTTACAACACTTTGATTATATTTGTAACCAATATTGATAAATATACAAATACATTATTACTATATAGGCGTATAAAAATTTCAAAAGTTATGAATGTAATATCAACGTAGCAAATCAAGTAAATCCTAATACAATACAATTTACAAATTGGTACATAAAAAGAAAAGATTTCACATGATGGATATGTTTTAACAGTGTTCATTATTATCTTATGAAATAAAACATTCATCAGCCAAGGAAAGTATTTGCTACTTGTGCCCATTTTGTAGCTTTTTCAAGAAAAAACTGCAATCTTTTTAATATGAAAAATGCATTATTTAATGCAAACTTCTCACCCCAAATGTCCATGTTTTGTAATGAAATGACAATATTCCACATCATTTGTAGTCATTCTTTGTTTAAACCAGTTCAACATCAAGTGTACAGCTTGATTAGGGAGTCAAAATCAACCCTACACACAAAATAAAAATGAACCAAGTTAATCGAAAATGCTTGTCAACACCCAAAAGTAAAACATCGCCTCACTAAAGTTTCCCAAATATAACAACTTATAAGAAAAAATAGGCAATTCTTCAAATATAAAAACACAAACACGTATATTTCCAACAATAGGAAAGTAAACCCAAAATCTTGATAGAACCATTCAATGCACTAGAAAAATGTGAGAGAGTGGCAACACAAGGCCAAACCAAGGAAGCATGTACCAGAGAACATTAAAACCTTTGTAATAACTATCCTGGAGGACAACAACAACTGAACCTGATGGGACCCAAATGTAGTGAATTCTCTTGCACCGACAACCCAAAATCAAAGCCCAACACCCGCCTACTCACATCCTGCGCCGTCACAAAAAAGAACAAGATCGAGGACAAAAAATAACAAGATCGAGGGGTATTTCGAGGATGGTTCAAGCTGAAAGGAAAGTCAGAGCTTCACACAGTCCGACCTTAAAAGCCATTGCTTCCGTTGCTACGAGGGCCAAGGGAATGATCGAATTCGACCCTACATCGCTCCAGCACCTCCTTTGCCCATCTTCTGCAATCTCACCTTCCTCCAGAAAACTACCACACACACAACCAAGGTAAGTAAGTTCCTGCAACGCTGATGTTGCTATTGTTGCTTGCAGCTTTGCCACTCTGCCATGAATTGAGGGGAGAGAGTCTAGTGTAGTTGGGGTTTGACCGTTCGCAGCTACAACATTCTGGTGGCGGTGGTCGTGCTGTTGTGCGGTTTTGTGAAGCAGTTGGTGACGTTGGAGTGTGGTTAATATCGGGCAATAGTTTGGGTAGTAGTTTTTGCGAGAAGGAGGGGTTGATTGGGTGTGGGTGATGGGGCGGGGCTGATTGCGGAGGTTCGTTTGCAGTGAGTGTATTCCAGGTTGCGTTGCGGGTGCAGTTAGGTTATTGAAGATGAGCCGATTTGATGGCCGATATGGCGATCCTTCGTCGTTTCGCGACAGGAAGAGGTACGTGTGGGGGCGGGGCTGGTGAAGTGGTGGTTGTGTTGGGCATTGTGGTGTGAGAATTGGGGGTTGCAGCCATCGCGGTCCCGCGCGTGGCTGCGAATGGGATGGTTTGCGCCGGCGCTGGCCGGTGCCCAACTTGCGCGTCTCTCGATGGTCGGGGCAATTGTTGTATTTGCGAGAGAGGAGCAGAGACAGACAGGGCGCGCGAACACACACACACACAGCGAGAGAGAGAGAGAGAGAGAGAGAGAGAGAGAGAGAGAGAGAGAGAGCGAGCGAGCGAGAGTTGGTGCAGGTTTGCTATTTGTTTGTGGGAGCCAGCTGAGGTTGTGGATTGTGGTGCAGTGACTTTGGAGGAGGTGGAGGAGGATACGGTGGGGGAGGAGGTTATGGCGGTGGTGGCAAAGGGGGCGGTGGATACGGTGGACGAGGAGGAGGCGGGCGAGGAGGTTATGGTGGGAGCAGCAAGCGTGATTTGGACGACATAGCGTTGCCAGCGCAGGAGTTCGAAAACCTAATTCCATTCGAGAAGAATTTCTACGTGGAGCATCCGGCCGTGTCTGCTTTGACCGAGGAGGAGGTTGCAGCTTACAGGCGAAAGCGAGAAATAACTGTGGAAGGTCGGACCGTTCCTAAGCCCGTCCGCACGTTCGAGGAGGCGTCATTTCCAGGTGCGTGGCATTTGCATGGCTGACGAATCGTGGCCGGGTTTGGTCTAGCCGTCCCGTGTTGCAACACAAAGACGTTGTGGTGGCGTGCACGGAGCACAGTTGCGAGAGTGCAGGTGTCCGGGACAGTTTAGGGTTGTGGGAGTGGTGAGCGCGGGTGGCTGTGTAGTTGCAGTGGTGTGTGCAGTGTAGAGTAGCGGGATGGTTCATCTTCCGGCGTAGGCGACGTCGTGCACGATGCGCGGAATGTGTGGGCTGGCCAGTGAGGGCACATTTGGCAGATGTGGTGTGCGAAGAAACCTGTCGTGGAGTAGGCGGGACGAAAACATCACGGGGCTTGGTTTGTGGTGGACACTGTGTGATTGATCGGGATCGGTCCTGTTGGTGGTGGCATTGGGTTTGTGGCGCTGATCACGCTGCGGCGGTTGTGTGTTTGGGAAATGGAGCAGATTATGTGCTGCATGAGGTGCTGAAGGCAGGGTTCACGGAGCCAACAGCTATTCAAGCGCAAGGCTGGCCCATGGCTTTGAAGGGGCGCGACTTGATCGGGCTGGCAGAAACCGGGTCCGGAAAAACACTGGCATATCTGCTGCCGGCTATTGTGCATGTGAATGCTCAACCGTATCTGGGTGAGGGTTTCGCGCACACGTGTGGAGGAGGGTTGATGTATGGGAAGGCAGGGTTGAAACGAGTGCGTGGATGAAGTTGAGGTTAATGGTGTGATGAGCCAGTTTCGCGCATTTGACTGGGTGGTGGTGGTGGATTGGGTTGCAGCTCCTGGAGATGGGCCGATCGTGCTGGTGTTGGCCCCTACTCGTGAGTTGGCGGTGCAGATTCAGCAAGAGTCGACGAAATTTGGGGCGTCTTCGAAGATCAAGAACACGTGCATATACGGAGGTGCCCCGAAAGGGCCACAGATCCGCGACCTGCAGAAAGGTTGGGATGAGCTGTGTGCAAGTGGGGTATGCAGTTCTGGGGCGGATGGGTGATTTGCGGCAGTTTAGGGCGTGGGCGTGAGTAACATGAAGTGCGTGTGTGGTGCAGGGGTTGAGGTTGTGATTGCAACACCGGGTCGTTTGATTGACATGCTGGAAGGTCGACACACGAATTTGCGGAGAGTGACGTACTTGGTGTTGGACGAGGCCGATCGAATGCTGGACATGGGGTTTGAACCGCAGATTCGGAAGATTGTATCGCAGGTGAGTATGGGTGCGTGCGAGGGTGGGTTGGCAGCGGTTGAAAAGTGCAGCGAGTGAGTTAGGTTGTGGGGCGCGCTGGGTAGTTGTTGTCATGGCACGTGTGCGAGGGCGGGCGGTGGGGTGTGGCGATGTTGGTTTGAGTGCACGGGGAAGGGTGGGACGTTGTGACTTGGCAAGGCGGATGCGGTGAACCGATAGATATTGGCAGGTGATGAGGGCGTCCTGTGAACGGGAAGCGCAAGTAGAAACAGGGTAGGAGTGAAGCGGATGCAAAGTTGAGCACGTGGAGGGGTGTGGGAGCGGAGTGGGAATGCGGATGGAGAGAGTGTGGGTGGGAATGAGGAGCATGTAGGTGGGCGAATGTTGGTAGAAGCGGTGCATATTGTGCTGAATGGGGTGGGGTGGGTTGGGTTGTGTGGGCGGTTACGCGAACAGATTCGACCAGATCGTCAGACGCTGTATTGGAGTGCGACATGGCCGAAGGAAGTAGAGTTCCTTGCGAGGCAGTTTTTGAACGATCCGTACAAGGTACGAGGGTTTGTTGCATGAACGAGGAAGGAGCGGGCGAAGGTTTATTTTGAGGGGAGGCATGGTGTTTGGAATGTGGTGTGGAGGTGTGGTCCATGATGTGTGGACGGGGGTGTGATGGTGTGCTTGGTTGTGGGTGACATTACATGTGGTTGAGCGGGATGAGGTGATTTGCATTGCAGGTGACGATTGGTTCGTCGGATCTGAAAGCCAACCATGCGATAGACCAAGTTGTGGAGGTGGTGTCGGAACACGAAAAGTATCCCAAGTACGTTGACGCTGTGAAGCGCGGGTTGTGGTGGGGACGGGAGAGGAATTACAGTGGATATATGAGTTGTGGGTTGTTGGCGGGGGGGGGGGGGGTTGGAGGTAGTTTGGTTGAGGTGTTTGGAGCAGAGGGCGTGGGGTAGGCGGTTTTGCTGAGGTGTTGTTGTTGTGTGTGTTTCAGGTTGATCAAGCTGTTGGAAGAGATAATGGATGGAAGCAGGTTGCTGGTATTCATGGAGACGAAACGCGGGTGCGATCAGGTGACGCGGCAGCTGAGAATGGACGGTTGGCCTGCGCTGTCGATCCATGGCGACAAGTCCCAGGCAGAGAGGGACTGGGTTTTGTCGGAGTTCAAAGCTGGGAAGAGTCCTATCATGACGGCCACTGATGTCGCTGCGCGTGGTTTGGGTATGTGCGGGAGAGGATTTGATATGAAGCGTTGCGTGCGATTGGTTGGGAGGGAAGGGTGCGTTGGGTTTGTGTCGTGAATGGAGATGGAAGGCGTGTGTGTTGGTTTTGGCAGTGGCTTGGTTGTGTCGTAATCGAGTGACTGTGTTGGAGGTGGCGTCAGGCCAGAGATCGGGTGGTGGATGTTCGTGGCGTGGGTGTCACATGTGTCGAGGTCGAGGTCGTGGTTGTGCAAATTGGAAGTGGAAGGGACTTGCTGTGATGTGCTGGGGGTGGTGGTCGGTCGTGTCGTTCGTGGATGACGTTGCAGTGCAGTGAGCGATGGCGCGGATGGTATTTGGGTTTGTTGCGCAAAGCACGTGTGTGGTGTGAGGGCTTGGGAGATGGTGGTGGCAGTTCAGTGGAGAATGTGTTGGGACGGTGTGGATGTTGTGGCACGGAGACTGGGAGTCGGGTGGGGCAAGTTGGTACATCCGGTGGGAACGATGCGTAAGGAGCGTGTGTGGGAGGGAGTCGGTCCCGATGGGTGTGACTGGGGTCGGAGGTGTGTGTGATGCATGGGGAAGTCGCGTGCGTCGTGTGAATCGGTCATGTAGGGCTCATGTGGTGGTGGGGGGGAGTCGAAGTCGTAGAAGAATGGTGGGGCGGCTCCGGCGGGGCGTTGGAGGCGCCCGGGGAAAGAGCAGCGAGTAGGGGTGTGAGGGAAGCGGGAGCGTGTTGAGTTGTGGGGTGTGGGAGGAGTTGGTGGAAGGAATGGAGGTAAGCGGGGTGCGTGTGGTTGGGGCGTCGAGCAGGGGCACGGTGTTGGAGGTGGTGGGTTGATGTGGTTTGAAGTGTGATGTGTGGTATGGCGGGGATTTGGTGTGCGTGGGCGTACGATGTGGAATGGTGGGTTGAGTGGTAGGATCTAACATGGTGAGGTAGGATGAGTGAGCAGTGGAAAATGGGAGTGGGAGAATGGGGTGCGGTGTCTTTGTTGTTCTGCAGGGTGCGTGAGAATGCGGGCGGGCTGTAGGCCAGCTGGCATCCTGATGGCATGATAGTGGCGTGGCGGCGGTTCTTGATGCTCTTATTAATTTTTTTCTGTGGGAAGGAAGAAAGGGGCAGTGCATGGGAGTGCGAAAGAGAGACACTGCCGCCGCCACGGCGACGCTCCACACCTGCTTTTTTGGATCGCTGGCTTACTGTGTGCAGCCCGGTCGCCACACTCATTCATCCGGTGCAGACACCGCGTTGTGTGGTCTAGAGCGTTGCAAGGTGGGCATCCACAGCGCGCCCCGCGATTGGGCGGATGTGATGGATGGGACTGACGAAGACGAAGGAGGATCGGAAGTGGGTGACGGTAGATAATGTGGCGGTGTTGGTTGGGAGTAGTTGAGGCGAAGGATGGGAGTGATGCGGAGTTGGAGAGGGTTGTGACGAACGTAAGAGCGTGGGAGGAGGGGGAGTTGGTAGCGAGCGGGAGTGATGTGATGTGGGGGTTGGTAGTTGAGAGGGGGTTGGAAGATGGATGGGGTCAGGACGGGACGGGAAGGGAGGGAGTTGGGTTAGGCGTAGGTCAGTGGGTTGGATTGTATTCCATGCGTTTGGAGGGTGCGAGTTGTGAGCGACGTAATCTATGTTGAGCGGGGTGGTCGCGGTGATGGTGGGAAGGAGAGCACGGCGTTGTGGGAGAATGTGGGCGGTGGTTGTGCAGTAGATGGCAGAGTGGGGTGCGCAGATAGGGAACGGGGAGGATGGTGAGAGATTGATGGGCGTATGGCGCATGGTTTTGGGTTGGTTCGGTGGTTTTTGTTTTGTAGAGCAGTGTGTTGTGGAGAGATTCTGAACCAGTCTGAGGAAGAGTACATGCGTGACTAGGCGATGAGGTGGGACGGTAAGAGTTGATAACGTCCCTTGGATGATGGGCTGTGAATAGTAGGGATTGTCGAAGGAGAGGAGGGAGTGAGGAGTGGGTTGGAGTAGCAGGAGGCGGTGTAGGGCGTGTGGAGGTGGTGATGGGTGTCGGGTCATAGAAAGAGAAGGTAGTTTTGGAGAAGGTGAAGTGGGCGGACGTTGAGGGGGAGAGGTTGGAACTGACCGGATTGGAGGGGGCGATGTTTCAGATGTGAAGGATATCAAGTGCGTGATCAACTACGACTTTCCGGGTTCGTGTGAAGACTACGTGCACCGGATTGGTCGCACAGGACGTGCTGGTGCGAAGGGAGCTGCGTACACGTTCTTCACTGCAGCGAACGCGAAGCACGCGAAGGAGCTGGTGTCAATACTTGTGGAGGCGGGTCAACCAGTGAGTTCTCAGTTGCAAGCAATGGTGGGCAGCAGTCGGGGCGGAGGCGGTGGAGGTGGGTGGTGGACGGTGCCGTGTGGGTTTGTGGAAAGGAAGTTGAAAGGCGTGAATTGCATTTTGTAGAGAGAGAGAGAGAGAGAGAGAGAGAGAGAGAGAGAGAGAGAGAGAGAGAGAGGGGGGGGGGATGGAGAGATCGAGGGGGGTAAGGTTGAGGTTTGTGGTTTGCAGGAAGGCAGTATTGGCGGTATGAGACGGAGAGCGTTTGGGGCAGGGGAGAGTTGAGGTTGTGGGAGTGGCATGATGTTGGATGGGGTGTGATGATGGTGAGGGAGCGGGAGATTGTTAGGAACGGAGTGGTGACAGAGAGTCGGGTGGATGTGAATGCAGGATTTCATCGTGGAAGGGGTTTCGGTGGGCGAGGATTTGGCGTTCAGCAGTCAGGTTCCAACACTATACCCCTGGGCGGTCAAAGATGGGGTCGGTAAGGCTGCGAGGCTGCGAGGGTGCGAGTTTGAAGAGGGTGCATAGCGAAGCAGCGGATGGCAGTAGCGAAGCGAAGGAGTAAGGTGTTTGAGTCGTAGCGTGGGTTGGACATGTGATCCATTGAGTGCGGTGTACCGGCGGTTGGACGAGGTGGGCGTGACGGGCAGTGAGCAGGGTCGGCAGGAGCGAGTGGTGGCGGTGTGTGAGGACGAGCAGTTGTGCGGTGGAGCAATCGGTGGTAAAAGTGAGAGCGGGGGTGGGTTGCAGAGAAAGCTGCGGGTGTCGTGGAGTAAGAGCGCGAAGCCAAAGAGTGGAAGTGGTGGGATCGGGTTGGAGGGCGACACAGGATCAGTGTGATTATATGGAGTAGTGAGGGTGGACAGAGAGTTTTGCCGAGTTCCTGGGGCCTCGGGTTAGTCGCGTGGTTTTTATGGTAATGGAGGCCGATGAACACAGGGTTGGCAGGGTTTGGAAAGTTGGTGGTAAGACTGCCATAGGAAGGGAGTGGGAGTGCATAGTACGGTACGATGCCTGTATGAAGGGCGTTGGGCCTTCGCTGGACTGACTGTAGAGTTCCCTTTGGAGGAATTGTATATCAAGGTTGTGATGGAGGATGTGCATATTTTGGGCTGTGGTATGGTTGTGTGAAGGTGGACCCGGATGATGGTGTGATTCTGTGGGCGACTGTGTGTGTATTGAGGGAGTGTGTTCGGGGCGATGGTGGGAGGAGGGGATTGCTGTGTTGGTTGGGGTGGGTTTGTGTGGGTGCGGAATGGGTGCTGTAGGGGTTGGAGGAGTTTTGATTGGGTGTAGGGGTGGTAGATGGGAGTGAGAAGAGACGATGAGGAATGTTTTGGTCGAGGTATCACGTTGGAGGACATGGCTGGTGTTGAATGCATGGAGGTGCAATCAAGTGTTGAGTGGAGGGATTGATCGGATGGGTTTAGAGGGTTGGTGGGGAGTAGAGTGTGCAGCGGAGCGTTGTGATGTTGACGGAGGAGTAGCATTGCGTTGGTATGGTAGTGTTGTATAGGTTGGGTCTGTAGGTGGTGGGAAGGGAGGTGTTATTGTTGAAGGGGACGTAGTGTGGAGAAATGATTGAGTGAATGTTTAGGATTGCGTGGAGTTGGTGGTCATGAGGGTAGAGTAGCGGTGACGAACTTGTGCGGGGTTGGGTCGGTGGCTGGAGTTGTTTTGGTGTGCTTGCGGCAGATTTTTTTGTAGGTTAGATTTGAGAGGTAGATATGATTGCTAGAGGCGAGGATTAATTCAGATGTTGTATGATAGGCGGTTTGAGCGGGTTTGGATATAGCGCCGGATCGGGTGTGCGGTCGATTTAGATTATTGGTGTGTTCTTTGGTTTGTTTGTTTGGGTACTGTGGATTTCTTGCATGGAGGTACGTGGTCTGGAAGTGGGTTGGCGGGAATTTCGCATGAGGGTTCTGTCAGGTGAGTGGTAGCGAGAGAAACGAAATCTATTCACGATTGTTACATGTTACAATGATGTCCAGTTGTTGGGAGTTGCTATGGCATGGACTTGGATGGAGAGGTCGGTTTTTTTGACCAGATTGAGAACCTGGACGTTTTAAAGGCCTTCGAACTGTAGTTGGTCTTCAGATGTCAAGACAAAGTCGTGTTTCATGGGGCCTAGCTTGGAGTAGTCATCAAAGCAGCTAGTGTCATCCTTGGACTGCACAGTATAGAACGTTAATTTAGGATTTCTTTTTATTTTAGGAGCTAGAGATGAAACAATTGGAACCGAGAGACATGTGCTGATTGTTTTCTTGTTATTGAGGATTGATAAATTGGACTTTGAGGAAGTGTAAGATTATTGTTAGATTGAGGAAATTCGATAACCTTGTTTAAATATGAAATGCAGGTGAAACTATCAAATGTAAGAGAAGTGCAGGCACGTACTGAGACTTTGGGTCGAATGGGAGGAGTGTCTTTTTTGGAAACAACAGCATCCCAGTCGACAGTTTGAAACCATGCATGTGTTTTGATTTCCTTCACTCCTCCTTTTAAGCATCCTATTCTGGTTGATCTCATACACGGATTTGAGAGCGTTTGATTAGTAAGTAGTTAGCACCCTATGTACAAGAGCACAACATGACACGAACATTGAAGGATTTGTCAAGCATGCAGAAACGAAATGCCGGAGATTTGAGGTGATAGTACCGCTTTGTCAAGTCTGCTACTAGGAGTCTTCTTAAAAGGTCTTTTGCACTACATAACCAAACATGAAAGGAATATGTGAGTTTGTTACTGCAGACACATATTGCAGTGTGGTGTTAGATCAACATGATGAGTTAGTTAGTGTCAAGTTTGTTGCAAATTGAATGCACATGGATGATTATTCGTGACCATTTTTATTTCTTGTTCGGTAATCAGTGCTTGGTCTTCAATTGTGGTTTTATATTATTTTGTCTATTCTGTTATTTTTTTATTTTATTTTATTTTTCAGAGACTTTGTATGCAAAGGTTCTTATAAATGACAATATGCAATTGTTTGACTTCTTACATGAGCACGCATTGGGTGTCTTTGATGTAATTGTTTTGGGAATATCAGTGATAGTGATATTTTACTGAATGCAACAGTCTACTACGGCTATATTCAGATAACTTTAAGTGATTTCAGGCTTGATTGATTAATTGATATATATATATGCATATACATATATATACACATGCACTGAAAATTCTTTCTTGATAAAAAGTGTTGAGAAAAATCAATCACATTGTATTGGAACTTTTTTTTAAAGGAATGTCTTTAATGATTTGTAGTATGGTACCTCTTTGAAAAGTGTCCTGGAAATTGTATTTTACCACTTAGTATTTTTTGGTATGTGCCGACAGGATCTGTTCAAAAATCATTTATAAGGTTTTGGAAATTTTACCAGTATACACATTCAATATACAGAATAAGTTCATAATTTCACATACAAATAGTGAATCTGTGGTTAATTACAATGAAACTTTGTGATGTTTTGATAAGTTTGAGGAAACTTCAACTACAAAGAGATTTGAGGCCAAGAAATATGTTTTTGGCAAAGTAGTGAAAATCACCTTGAAAGTAAAATGATTTTTTTTTAATATATATATATATATATAACTTTATGTTTGAACATGTTCTTTATGTGTATAAATTTTCAATTTTACAATACCACGAAAAATTGACCTCAACCCTCATTTTATCTACTAGTAGGAGAAGTACATTTTTCATTTTGCTCACTTCAACTCTTAGTAGAAAGCGAGTCCAAATTCATCTCTATCTCCCTACGAATTATGTCAGATATTGTTTTAATCCATATTCAAAAGTGAGGCTGTTACAAAGATATGATTATCTCACCATCATCATAGAAAGGAGGATATCCAGCTAACATCTCGTATATCAAAACTCCAAAAGTCCACCTATTTTACGTCAGAACATATATTAGCTTCTTTGCCAACATGTCTTGTCGAGAAAAATTAGTAAGTTGATTTACATGCTTTTAACTACAAATCAAGGTTTGTTGTCATCTCTGAAATGTGATAACAAGAACGTCTTTTTCTATATGGTTGAATTTTGATTTAGAAAATGAATTCTCAAATTTTAGCAATTTCCCTTCGTCTACAAAATTGACAGAAAGTTTACCAATCAACAGGCTTGCCGTGGCCCTTATTCAGAATAATCTCAGGAGCAAGGTAATCAGGTGTACCTGCATTAAGCCTCTATAAAGACGAGTCATAACCCATACACTAACCAGCAATGTCGTAACGCAAGCAAACAGTTAACAAGATCGTTATGAGACAGTTCAGAGTACTTCTCCAGGTGCAGTCTATTACTTTGTAACACAACAGAACTTACCACACAAAGTGTAGGTTCTTCGGTCGATCTGCTTAGCGAACCCAAAATCAGTGACCTTGAGATTTCCTTTCGCATCAAGCAGCAGGTTCTCAGGCTGGCAGCAGAAAAATACCACCACCTCTTCCAATTTCAAATTCACTCAATAACAAACATGAGGGTCAAATCATCTCTCGAAATGGATAAGTGAAGCTACCTCAACACAGCAATATTTGACGGCACATACATAGTGGCAGTGACTACCTTAAGATCTCGGTATATGATATCCATACTATGCAGATACTCAAATGCGCATAATACTTGTGAGGCATAAAATCTCTGCCAAGATCACGAACTTATCAGCTTGACTACTTTCTAGAAATAAATGTCAAAAACTGCAGCTCCAACTGGAGCTGGAATCCTATGCAGCATCTACTTTCAAGCATTATCTTGTTAGGCTTTCATTCAGTCTATAGAATCGCTCCAAAGGAAACCCCAACAAGTTAAACAGGCACTTCACAATCATTCTCACTTGAATCATGTTTAGCATGCTCGTGGGGTTTTCTTTTGTCTATGTATTTAGCAACTAATATACTTATAGTCACACTATGGTTGTTATCCAATTACATGGGCTAACTGCAAGTAGATCTTTGTAAACCATGACACAAATGTTGCATTTCTTTGAAAACCCTAGAATTAGCTGTTCCATCAGCTATCAAAGCAGCGATAAGAAAGACTCACAGTGGTCGCCTCATCAAAACGCCCAGTGCTGCGTAGGTAGGTGAAAAACTCGCCCCTATTTACATTCCAACCCACGTGAGTTAAGCAAAGTCCAATGAACCAGCGGGCCACGAGTTTGATTACGTCCTCGAAGCAGACATATCAGCTAGTCTACTTCTTGTGACTTGCTTCAAAGGTAAGTGCTACAGGAGAACTGAGCTGCCCTTACCCACAAACATATTCTATAACAAGATGTACACACTGATCATCTTGGCAACATCCAAGCAGATTAACCACAAAAGGGTGTGATATCTTCGCTAAGATTGATTTTTCTTGCTTCACGTGCAGCACCTGCCATAGGACTCTATCATGGTTTTGTGAAAAGCAAGACGTGGATTCATAATGTAGTGACGAGAACATAACCGGCAAAGAACATCTAATATCCTCAAATATGAATAATCGGCTCTGAAAACTTTCATTGCCATACTAGTTCACATTATGATTTATAGTTAAGCTTATTCAAGAATTGGTCACGTCACGGACAACAATCGGGACTAATCAAAGAACCGTATTAAGCGTAGAGAATAGTACGAGTTAAACGGCATCTGAAAGTGGAGAGATGAGGCTACGGTTACGTTACCTGTTTTGATTTAACAATTGAGGCCTTAGATAAAGATTTGGTGGCGCAAACTTGACCAGTCGGAGTGTGATGCGCAACGTGAACTCGACCAAAGCTTCCCGTTCCCAAAATAGGACCCAACTTGAAATCCGAAAATTTACACCCTTCAAGCCACACCTACAATCATCCCTCATTGCCACCACATTGCCAATGTAAGAAACCCCACCATCGGTATGCATCCTTAATCGCACATCTTTGGTCGACTCAAGTATATCGACAATACATATGTACCTTTTCTGAAGGAGGATCACTTCCTCCGCCTCCTCCGTCCGATTCCCCAGACGACCCCTTCGACTTGGAAAAAAGCCTCCCAAACATTGTGTCAATCTATATCAGTCACTACACGCAGAAAATGGACGTGGATCCGGAGCACATACATGCTGAAAGCATAACTTCAAACGTCTTCGATGTCTTTGTATTTTGCATGCCAAACTGATTCATGAGCATAAGCAAATTTAATATCAAGTGACCATGTGCGTGCATTGCGAGAGCGGACAACTTGCTCCTTCTCAAGGAGTCAATGAGAGAGTGAGTATCTCAAAACTGATGCATGTTTTTTTAACAGTTTGCACTCCACCTTCCAAACTACTCGGCAAGACTGCAGTGTGTTCCAGAGACTTCAAGCTTTGTGCTCCGACGAAACAGGCAGCCTGGGCACATTCAATTTATGGTGTTGGGGAAAGACCATGCCTCATGATTTTGTGGCGCAAGCATGGTGGTGGTGGTGGTGCCCTAACCGAGTCCACCATTCCACATCCCTTCATACTCCTCCGCCACATCGTCCACCCACACTCGTAACCGAATTCGACACGAATTCCTCTTGAATGAGTTAGCCAAATCACACCACTAGATATGAGTGTGTGTGTGTATCTATATATATATATATATATATATGTGAATGAATAAATAGAATCATTAAAGGCAGCAGTTTTCCAATCTCCAAGCGTTTCAGACAGTGTCAGTGGTAAGCAGGCCAAAGTCTGCTCTAGAAGCTGCCTATTCTGTTATCATCTTCAATACAAGAAACGAAGTTGGAACTCACATTCCAAGTTGGGTTTACTATTCTTGCAAGATTAAAATATTAGACGAGGTTATATCTCTTTCAAGTCTGAAGAAGCTTTTACAGGGGTTTTTCATTTTTATTTAAATCTTGTGTGTAAGTTGTGAGAAATGTTTTTTTTTTTTTTTTTTTTTTTTTAATTTTTTTTTATTGCATTTCAACATTATGATTCCAAAATTAGAACTTCTCTCAGGTTTATTTTTGTGTTTACTCCAAGAACTAGGTTTTAGAAAGAAAAGTATAGCTTGCATATCACATATAAAGATGATGATCATTCATGGAAATAAGAAGTTCATTTAAAGAATACATATTAAAACTTAAAATACATACCTTGTAATTGTTACAAATTACCAAAAAAAATATAACATAGACACTATAGTAATTTATCTATAAAAGCTTCAACTTTAATAAATAATATTTATCTATAATACAATATCTACCTAAATATGACAAAAAAATATTAGATGGATTTTTTGCACCAACATGCTTATTTAGTCCTTTGTCTTTTGAAAAATGATTACAAACTTGGAGAATTCTTTCTTTTATTGAAGGCATAAAACTTCCACTATAAGAAACAACAATTAAGCCTAAGAAGATAAAACTTGATAAGTTCTTGATTATTGTGATCATTGATATTATTATTAACAATCAAAGATTTTTATAAAATATTAGTAGCAATGATGTTATTAATGCTTAGAATTTTGTTGATTACTTTGTCTTTAAGATAGTTCAACAATCTCTAGATGTCTATTAGATTTGATAACTAAATCGGCAATTCTAGACCTCCATCTATTAAACAACATTATAATCAATAAGTTGTTTTATTTTTATTTTTTTATAGAATATATGGCTATGAGAATTTTTTATAGAATATATGGCTATGGACCACCAATACAAAGTAATAATGATTTTATGTAAACTGATTTTTTATAAAAAGTAGCCACCTCCTAAGTAAGTGTGAAGGGCAAAAATTGTGGTGCATTGTTTTGATCCAAAAATATTTGCAAAGTATCAAATTTTTTATCAAAGTTATAAAAAAATTATTTTTCTATGAGAATAAGATTGTATAATGTATTAGCATTCTTTGCATCGCATAGTAGACAAAAATATTTTGAAGCAAAAATTCTTTAAGATAGAATATAGTTAATCATATTTTAAATGGAATAAATTTGCATTATATAAGTTGTTATTCAAATAAGATGGATATAATCTCCAAAGCTATTGCAAGATAAAGTGAATGGCATTGTAATTTTTGTTAGGTTTATAAATTATTATGAAGACAACTTTCAAAAGAAGAAGAATCATTGTGTTAGTTGTTTAAATACTTGGAGTTGGTTGTATAAATTACTATGAAGACTAATTCTAAGAAGAAGAAGAGCCATTGCATTAGTTTTCTAAATACTTGGAATTTGTTGATAAAGAATATCAATGTAATGTATTTGATAAAGAATAAAAAATATTTTTAAAATAAATAATTATAAATTTTTTGGATCACATAAAATATGGTCAAGAATTCTTTTTTTGTCATTGTACAATTCTTTTTTGCAAACGTTAGAAGATGGAATGCATAAGCTATGAGTTGATCATCATTGCTAGTAGAATTTTAAGCTAGCATTACTTCAAAAGTAATATCTAATAGATTTGTATATATATATATATATATATATATATATATATAGAACTTAATATCTCAATAGATATGAATAATGATCAAGGTATTTTTGAAACCTTATTTGATGGTATCAAAGATTTTTTTAGTAATTATTTGACCATTAAAAATAAAAAAATATTTGAATAAGATAGATGATAGGTAATATGATTTCAACATAGTTGTTTATGTAAGTTCAATTAAATTAAGCAATATCATTGAAAATTTGGATATTTTTGATATTTTTTTTAGAAGTGTTACATTGGTGGAGCTTCAATCTTTCAAAAATCTAAAAAAAAATCATTATTATAAAATAATATAATCAACGATTAATTTAAAGTATATTATGAAGGTATATTTGTTTAAACTAAGGCTTAATTTAAATTTCTAATATAATATAAATACAAATTTAATTTAATAAGATATATATCTATAAAGTTATAGATACTATTATTATTCAAGCTTTTAAGGTTACTAGTAAGCATAGCACATGACCTTTTCAAAGCAAAATTGTGTCAAGGATAAAAACTTGATAAAAAAAGTAAACAAGTGAGACTTTTTTCAATGAAAAATGACAAAATAGAAATAATTAAATATATATATTAAGAAAGAAACTGGAATGGCTATTGCCAAAAGATAAGAAAACTAGAGACCCTTGAAACTAGACTACAAGCAAGAAAAGAGTTTATAAGAGTGAAGAAGGCTTCATTCTTGCTTCTATATATACTATCTACTTAGGAGTTACGTGGCGATGTTCTACAGGACCTCCAAAAATGTGTTGACTTTGCACAACACATATCTTAATTTGCAAGGTAAGTTTTCTATGTAGGTGCCATATAGTTAGCTTATTCTACAAGCTACCAACATATGTGGCATGTGGTTAACTTGTTGACTAAGTTTCTAAACTACCAATCAAGTATAAATACATATAAAGTCAAAGCAACGTTTATGAAGCTTCTAAGAAGCTTCTCTAAAAGATATTATGAAATTAATTTACTTTTACCTACTTCTACCTATTCATATCACCTAAGTAATAATTACAATAAATATATGTCTGTGACATTATCTCCTTTCTAAGAATGAGTTCCACTAAGAGCAGTGATCACATGTCGAGGAACTCTAAGATGCGACAAATTCTATTTGTCACATACTCTGATCTTTGTTCTCTTTGTAGATGATTGATAGGGCCTCTCAATCATGTCCCATACCAGGATGGGAAGACCACCCAATTATTTGATTGTTGTTCAGGTCTTCATGACTTTTTTTAAATAAAACATTTGGAACACTATCAAGAATTGTTCCTACATCTAATAAAATCACCAAACATTGGGAGTCCCTTCCAAGGTCGTGATACCAAATGCATTGTATCTCGCCATCTATTCGAGGAAGAACATGTCATTCTTGAAGATCTTCATCTCGATTGCGTTGTCTTGAAGGTTGTAACAATCATAATGTCTCGTTAGGTAGGTTTGTAACCAAAGGCTCTTGAGTCAAATCTGTGGGTTGTTGGTTTTCTATCTTCTCAGTGTCACAACTACAAAGAAGCTACAAACAAGGATTTAAAATAGAAACTTATCTTGCCTAGATCTTATTTTTTTCGTAAGAAAGATTTTTATCTTGATTTTGATGAATGTTGTCGATGAAAAGCCTCTACCGCCTTTGTTGCATTTGTAAGATTCTTTACTAGCTCCCATGTACGTTCACTAATATCATATCCAAGCCAATGGATAAGATATTCTAATTTATTTCGGCGCTGCCTTGAATCTAAGACTTCTTCCACTTTGAATTCTTTATTAATGTCCACTTCTATAGGAGGAGGTGGAGCTTTTCTTCTTCTTGGTATGTCCATTGTCTTGTATAGTTCAAGAAGAGACACGTGGAATACTGGATGGATTTTTATTAACTTCGATAGGTGTAAATGATATGCAACTAGATTGATTTGTGCAGAAATAAAAAATGGTCCAAGCCTTTGATAGTCCAACTTGTTCTTAAGAATGAATGGTCTTAATATTGCAACAAAGTAACCATACCTTGTCACCCATATAGAATAATGGTTGTTCCTTTTAATAGACATCCGCATTGATCTTTTGTTATTCTTGAGCTTCTTTTAACTTTGCCTTCATTATTGCATGTAGCTCTGACAAATGATTTGTCAAATCTTTTGCCATAGGATTATCAACTTTTGAAAAGTCAAAAGTATCAAGTCATAGATGATAACCATAATTGGCAAAAAAAGATGTTTGTTTTATAGAAGAATGTACCATGTTATTATAAGCAAACTCTGCCAATGGCAAAAGAGTTGTCCAATCATCTTGTTGGTAGTTCATAGTACATCTTAAATACTACTCCAAAACTTGATTAATACACTTTGTTTGTCCATCAGTTTGAGGATGGAATGTCGAAGATAGTTTTATATCCACTTTTAGAATCTGAAAAAGAGTCCGCCAAAATCTTGATACAAACTGAGCTCCTCTATCTGATATAATATCCTTGGATAATCCATGATAGCGATAGATATTGTCAAGAAAGAGCTTAGTTGTTTCTTCACCTATGATAGATTTTGTACATGATACAAAATGTGCCATCTTGGTAAAACGATCTACTATCACAAATATAGAGTCATAAGAACTTGAGATTGAAAGATCCGTAATGAAATCCATAAAAATAGAAGACCATGGTTGTTCTAGAATGGATAATGGCCGAAGAAGTTCGTAAGGTCGATGACAAGGAGTTTTTGATCTTGAGCAAACATCACAAGATTGTATAAAAACTTTGACTGCTTTCCACATTTGGGGCCACCAAAAATCCCTGGATATTAGTTCCAAAGTTTTATTGTACCCAAAATGTCTTGCTGTTGGAAAGTTATGATGAGCTTGAAGAACACGTAATCGAGCTTCACCTTCTGGAACATATAGATGTCCCTCAAAATATAGTAGATTATTTTTGAATTCAAACTTGGAAGTAATATGAGACTTTGAAGGATTTTTCTTAATATCACAAATAAGAAGATCAGAAGACATACTTAATGATAGTTGAATCAATAGTTAATGTTGATTTCATTGCTCAAAGATGAAGATGCTTTGGCTTCAAAGGAATTGCCCATTGTTGATCAAAAGCAGCATCTCCTTCTTTTGGTGTAAGGTAAGAT